TCTCTCTCTCTCTCTCTCTCTCTTGTGGGGAGAGGGGGCAGTCTGTTACTACTAGGTCTATGTGGCCATTTCTAGGATGTCCATCCTCTACCAGGGCTCCAGCAAACAAAACATGGGCTCCAGCCCTATGAGGCACCTACCTGCCCAGTTCTATTGACTTAACATGTCCACAAACAATTTTGTCCCCCTCAAAATCTGCCACAACTTCTGGGGTGGAGGGTTACTGGGATCATTGGTGGTGGAGAATGGGCAATGGTGAAGGGATGGGTACTCGATCATTGTATAACTGAAACCCAAGCACGAAAGTTTGTAAGTCTACAACTGTACCTCACGGTGTTTCACTAATAAAAATTTAAAACAAAACAAAAGAAAAATAAACAGAGTGGAAGTAAGTCCGATCACAGTTGCATATGGCCCCAAAATAAAACAAAACAAAAATCTAATAAGGAAAAATAAAAAAATCTGCCACAGCTTGAATCTTCAGCCCTCTAAAGGTCGCCTCCATCCTTGCAGTTGCTCAGTGGAGAAACCTGGGAAAACCCTAGATGCCTCTCTTAACCCACACCTCAATCTGTCAGAAAATCCTCTCACCTCTACCTGTCACCCTACCAAATGTCCTCAATCCCAATCTCTTCTCACCACTGAAATGACATAGAGCAAAGACGCAATTACCATTAATTTATGGGGGCGGGGGGGGGGGGGCAGGAGGAGCAGGGGACGTGAGCACCCTCAGGCTCTACAAAAACAACTTAGCAAACCAAATAGCACACCAAACCTAAAACCACTCCCATGGGTCAGAGCAGGAATGGAGTCATCAGTCCCTGCCCTGTCAGCTGGCAGGGAAGGAGATCTGGGGAAGGAGCGTGATGGGATGTTTCGATGGGGCCACTTTCCCAGCTCAGGTGCTGCTGCCTTGGAAGGACTGAGTGCATCTCTCTAGGGCCAGGGAAATGCTCGAATAGCTGAAATGCATGCTTGGCATTTGGGAGCCTGGGGTTCACTCCCTGGCACCTTACAATCTCCAAACACTGCTGGGAGTTCTGGGAGTCCCAGCTCCAACCAAAATAAAGGCACTTCAGGTTGATGGTAACTAGAACTCTAAAGGTTTTTATAAATGTATATTTGCCCTGTACCCAGTCTCACCCACTAGAATATAAGCCCATAATCACAGGACTTTTCTGCTTTGTCTGCTACAAAACAGAGAGTCTGACACATAATAGATACTCCATGAAAGAAATGAATGAATGAATGAATGAGTGAATGGAATTTGAGAATTATCTACCATCCTCAAGAGACAGCTTGGCTTGGATATTTAAGACCTGGTATAGCAAGTTTTCAAATAAGATTGTTTCAGGGGCTGGAGCAATAGCACAGTGGGTAGGGCATTTGCCTTGCACGCGGCCAACCCGGGTTCGATTCCCAGCATCCCATATGGTCCCCTGAGCACTGTCAAGGGTAATTCCTGAGCGCAGAGTCAGGAGTAACCCCTGTGCATCGCTGGGTGTGACCCCCCCAAAAAAAACCAGCAAATAAGATTGTTTCATTCTAATTAATTCCATTCTACCATGAATGAAATTATGAGGGACAGAATCTCACCAGGGATGAATAAAATGACATTATTCGAGGACCTGCTTTCATTCTTTCACTTGAATTACAATGTCCCAAATGTAGCAAGGACATTGGTGAGGATGATTGTCCTGGCCTTGACAGTTGCTATGTGACTTCTGAGTCCGGAGTGTCTAGCTGCAAATAGTGAACTCTGTGTTTCCTTGAGGGGAAAGTGGCATTCTAGAATGGGGCGTGGCCACCCCCTTGCCAGCTTCCATTCTCCTCTGAAGGTAGAAGACAGGGTAGACAGGACCCAGGAGAGGGAGAGGAGAAAAATCTCACTCCTTCATTCCCAAGCATCAGGTGGGAGGGGCTGTAGCTGTAGTACAGGGGGTTCTATCCCCAGCACCCCATATGGTCCCCTGAGCACCACCAGGAATGATCCCTGAGTACATGGACAAGCCCTGAGCACGGTCAGGTGGGGCCCCAAAACAAACCAAAACATCAGGTGACGCCTTTGCTAGCTTTCAAATGATAGGCTGGGTGAGTGCTAGCTTGGACTTCACAGACCAGGGCAAGGGGGGCTGGCCACGGCCTAGGCTGCACCTCCTGGGAAGCTGGTCCTGAGGCCTCGGGAGCAGCAGTGTCCAGAGAGGTAGGGAGCCAGGGCCAGGGGAGAGGCAGGGAGGACAGGGCAGGCCTTATGCACGAATTGCCTGGGCACATACAGGTCCCTTGTGGCTTCTGGACAGTCTGTCCTCCACACGGACCTCAGCTGAGCCCCCATTCCGAGACTGGGCAGAGAGCAGCCGGCCTTTTGGCTGAGGACAGCCCCATCCTCCTCCCTTTTCTGGGCTTCGCAGCAGTCCTCTACTTGTTTTCCCCAAAATAAATGGGCAGAGCATATTGGACCGGCAATAACCCCTTGAAATCAGTTGTTATCACAGTTAACAACCAGTTTGGCTTCAGTTCAGGCTGTTAACTATCAGACCACTAAGTGCCGGTAATGATTGATTCTTGGCCAGTTGCGGCTTGAGCGGGCTGTAAAACCCCATTAGCGAGGGCTCTGTGGAGGCAGCATTGCAAAGATAAACAAGGTGGTGGGTGCTCCAGTCCAGTTCAGCCCCACTGTGGCCGCCTCTGCTACCCTGGGTCCTGGGCTTGGGGTGCTGCTGGGAGGAAACCCTTCCCCAAGCCCCGCCCATCTGCCTCCATCCTCCACCTCACTCTGCTCTGGTCTGGAGTACAGCTGGTTCTGGGGATGGCCTCACCGCCTCTCCCTGCCTCTCCCTGAACGCCACCCTGGTCTGGTTCCACCCCCAACACGGACTCCTCAGGCCTCCCCAGCAGGGGACCTTCAGGAGGAGTTGAGGGCCCAGCCCATGACCAGCCTGGCCCCACTTTGTGGCCGGGATCACAGGCGGGGAGAGCCTGACATTCCACCCCCCCCACCCCCAGACTCCTTCCCGCCCTGTGGTTTCCCCCAGGAATTGCTCTCAAACAAATGAAATGTGGGTAATTACGGGGCTAGGGGCTGGACAGGGGCTGCAGATGAAAGCGTTTCCTGGACGGTTCTTCATTTGCATGGCATCAGAAGCTGCTCAGAAGGTGTGACTTTTCCCACAGTGAGACCCCAGCTCCTGGCACAATAAAGCTAGGCTGCTCACCCAGAATTAATTAAAGGAGGAGGGAAGGGGAATGGAGCTGAGGAGGAGGCACTAGAGGCCGGGAGAGCTGTCTGGAGGTCCCCCCTGCCCCCCAGTGCTCAAGCACCAGGAGAACTTACTCCACCCAGAGCCTTCATCCACAGATCCACAGCATACACTAGGTGGGGTGCACAGACCCCAAGGCGATCCCATTCTCCTGGGCCGAAGCTTCCTCCCGGAGTCCTAGAAGCCCCATCTACCTCGATGGCCTGAGCCTGGCCCTTGGCTGGATTCTGGGGCTCTGAGGCTCTCTCCATGCAAAAGTACCAAGAGAGAGGCCCAGAGGGAAGAGGTCTCAGGATCGGTTCCGTTACAAGGCTGTGGGGCCAGGGGTACCCTCAGATATGCCAGCTCAGGAACGGGAGGCAGGGTAATGACAAGCTGGCCACCGCTCTCTCAGGGTGGGGTTCTTCTGGATGATGCCAACCTCCCCAATGCAACTCCAAACCCAGCTACCTGTCTAGGTTCTAGCCTTGGGCCGACACTGATCGGCTCTCTCCTAGCTGGAATGTGACCTGGGCAGCCTCATGAGCTGCCTTCCACATCAGACCCCGAACCCCCCCACCCCTCCGCTTGGCTTCCAGCCCTGTTCCGGCAGGTGACTGTCCCTGCCCATCCCAGGCCATGTTAGCCAGGGTCATCACGGTTTGACCTCGGACACCTTTGCAGCATCTGAGTTCAGCACCTTTGGCTCCCAGCTAACTTGATCTCCACAAGTTCACACTCGTTCCATGTCACAACGGCCAACCTGGGCTTTGGCAGTTCCTAGCTCTGACAGTCTGGAATCTCCATCTTGGTTGCCACAAAGGAAAGGATTTTCTTGTTGTTTTGGGGCCACAGCCTGTAGTGCTGAGGACTTACTCCTGACTCTATGCTCCAAAGACAAAATGTGGTGCTGGGGATTCAAACAGGGCTGGCCGCATGCAAGGCAACTTAGCCCTATCCTACCTCTCCGGCCCAGGGACCTTCCACAGAGGCATCCTCAAAGCCCATTTCCATAGTCCTGACCCTGCTCAGGTGTCACTGCTGGCCCAGAGTGCCCTGGGGACATGTTCAGAGCTTACAGAACTGCTAAAAGCCTCCCCCCCCCCCCACCGCCTCAACCCCTCCTCTCCTCCCCCCCTTGGTGTCCTTCTCGGCATCCTCTGGAGACAACACTAGGGGACAGCTGACAGACATGAAGCTGGGGGGGGGGGGGTGACAGAACCGGACCAATTTACCGCCCCTCCCCTCACTGTCCAAGTCATGTTTTTAACTCTAAGTGCAATATACTTGCCCATTTAATCTAATACTCAGCCTCCCTCCTGGAGGCCATACCCCTTTCCTCCTGGGCTCCACTGGGGGGTGCAGTGGAGTGGGGGGGCTCATCTGGCCAGCTTGTCAGCTGCGTGAGGGTAGGGGGGATCCTGCAGGATGGAGAAAAGCATCCCCATCCCCCAGGGAGCCCCCTAAGAATCCCAATTGGGGCCACTCCCAGGCCTTCCTGAGAAGTTAGAAGACAGACACCACAGCCAAGTGGAATACAAAAATAGAGCCTCTCTTTTGTTTAAAAAAAAAAAAACGAAACAAACAAAACAAAACAAAACAAAACCCAACAGCAAACAAAGATCACCCACCGGCTCCCTCAGGGCCGCCCCCAACTCCTGCCCCGCCTTCAGTAGCGCAGACCTCATCTTGCTCGGCTTTCTCCGGGGGCGGGGAGGGGGGCGCCCCCAAGATGCAAGTGGCGCTGGACGCTGGGGGCGCCTATCGGGGCTCGGGGGCCCAAGTCCTCTGACCGGCACGCAGGCTGCGCGTGAAGGGCGGGTAGTTGAGGAACTCGAAGCGCAGGCTCTGCTCCGTGGTGTGGTGGCCGCGGGGCAGGCGCTTCATGAAATGCACCTCGCGCTGGTGCTGCCGCGTCTTGGAGCCCCGGCGCGGCCGGCCCTTGCGCGTGAAGGCCATGTACCAGCCCTCGTACTTGGCGTTCTGCAGGGCCGTGTAGTTGTTCTCCAGCACGATCTCGGTGAACACGCAGTCCTTGCCTTTGCCATTGCTCTGCATGGGGGGGTGGGGGGGGCGCAGACACCTAGTCACTGGGCTGATTCGCCAGCCCCCCCCCAAAACCCCCCTTAGAGGCAGAGGGCAGGCGGCCCCAGACAGCAGGTGGGCACCCCAGCAGATGGCGAGGTGGGCAGGAGCTGCCGCCCCACCCCCTGCCCGGGCACCCGCTCTCTAATCCCTCACAACCCGCAGCCCACCCGGCAGCTTCCTGTCCCCCCAGGCAGCCGTGACACATGGCCGGCTGAGGGGCCCCGACCCTGCAAAGCAAGGCAAGGGCCCAGCCCCGGCCGCCTGGCCTCCTGCCCACCAGTCTGGCCCCAGCTCTCCCCACCTGCCCCCCTCGGTCCCCTCAGGATGGCAACTCCGGGGCCCCTAGACGGCCACCCTCAGGGGGAGGGGAGGCGTGTGAAGAGCCCCCGAAGCCCAGGAAGCCGGGCTTGAGGCTGGAGAGGACCGTGACTAATGGAGCCATTTCAGAGCTGGGCCCAGGGGCTGGGCCTGCGGCTTTACTGAACATTCCAAATGCTGGTACCATGTAATTGGACATAATAGCAAAGCAATTTGGCGATTTGTTAAAAAGATATATGGAATTTACCAACCCCCCCACACACACACAGCCCCCTCCCGCCCTTCCTTCTTCCTCCTGCCTTTACAGCTTTTCATCTCTCCAGCAGCCTCCCTCTCCCTCCCCCATCATTAGGTCACCCCAAGGTGGGCCTGTGTCTCTGGGCCACCTTGTGGAGATTCTGGAGAAGCCCAGGCCACCCCCAGGTCCCACCACTGAGGCCTCACCTTGGCGATCAGCTTTCCCTTCTTGTTCATGCAGATGTAGAGACCCGTCTCGGCACCTCGCACCCGGACCCTGCTCCCGAAGGTGTCCGTCTCCACGATGAGTTTCGCTGTCGGGACAAATGGGAACAGTTACTGGAAGCTCCTCCTGACGGCCCCTGGCCATCTCCTTGCCCACCTATGCTCCCCTCTCAGGGATGGGGACCCAAGACATGGGCTCCCCTAGTCTGCTGAGCAGTCTGTGAAAGTCAGGGCCCTTTCCGGGGTCACCTCTTCACCTGGGTTTATCAAGAGGGGAGTGAGCAAGATCATGGGGGACAATACTGGGTTCCGTAAAGTGGGAGGTGGAGTGTAAAACAGCTGAAAAAAACCCTTCAAAAGCAGGCAGGACAGACTTTTATATCAAGGCTCCTAGTCAAATGCAGTGAGACCAGTGTTTCACTGCACAGCAGAAGACAGAGGATCTGTCTCTCTCAAAATCTTTCTGTGACTCACCCCACACCCCCAGTTCTTCTGGAAGAGGGGGCTTTATGGGGGGAGTAGGGCGCGGTGCTCCCACATATGGCCTCTGGTCCTGAGTGCAAGGCTACAGCCTCTTCCCAGGTCCCACAAGCCCAGCCTCAGTTCCCCACAGATGACCAGCAGGGCCTCCCCCTAAGGTGGCCCAACACTTCCTAGTGGCAAGGAAGTAAAATCAGGACCCAGAGACACCTCAAAGAGCTGAGCACAGGCTTTGCATGCAGGATGCCTGGCCTGGGTTCGATCCTAGGCATCACCTGAGCACCACCAGGAAGGACCCCAATCATACACCCAGAAGTAGTCCCCAGCACCATCAAGTTTGTCCTACCCCTACCCCCAAAAAGGGGCCATCAGAGTGGTTGCTTCTAACCCTGAGAGCTGCGGCACTTATGCTGAATTCTGGTCCTTCTCACCTAACACAATATGTCCCTCTGAGACGACTGTCCCCAGAGGATGCCACTAAGGGTGACTTAGCTGTTTGGAAGGGGACAGAAATTCTGAGCATCCCGTCCTCTTTACTGCCCTTTCCAGCTCCGGAGAAAGCAGTGTGGGGGCTCTCAGGGCTGCTTCCCAGTTTGTCCTGCCTTTGTGCCCCCTTCTCTGGCTCTGAAACTAATAGAGGCGCAGCGTGCATCCCAAGATCAGCAAGGCAGCCCTTGTCCAGCCTACGGCTGCCCTGTGACTCCTTCCCCCTCCCCCATCCCAGAAGCCAAGGCCCCAGGCTGGCTCTAGGTCCCTGGGAGAACACAGCTGTCACCTCGGCCACCTCCTCGTGGACCCTGCCGGGTCATCTCCCAGAGCATGGACAGGCACCACTGACAAGGGGGTGAGAGCACCACGGTGCTCCTGGAGGCTGGAGACGATAGACAGCCCTCGAGAAGCCCCCCTCTCTTCTTGGGGCCCATTAGGAAACAATCTACATCCCCCAGATACTTCCCATCCTGGGGGCCTCCCTCAGTCTCTGCCGAGAGCCTCCGAACCTCCGCTACTTGCAAGGAACAAAGTGGGCATCAGACCTGGGGGGGGGTCTGAAAGTGCGTCTCCCCAGCCCCCGCCCGCGGCAAAACCCAAGAATGCAGGACCATTTGCTCCCATGGAGGAGCCTGGGGGAGTCAGGCGGCCCTTCCCTTCCCTTGGAAGCTGAGAAGGGCAGCGAGCAGTTTGAGGGACAAAGGGATAGTCGGCTGGTCCTGCCAGCCCAGTGGGGGAGCGCGGCCACCGGGCAGGTTCCCCCACCCCCCCACCCCTGCCCCCGCAGCCCCCAGTTCAGGCCCTGATGGGTCTGGAGAGTGGGGGCCGAAGTTTACAGCGGCTTTCCCGACCGGGTTTTTGGAAAGCTTAACATTTTCAAACCTATCCTTCCACCCCAGTGACAGATTTATCCCAGGAAAATTATGTCTCCTTCCCCAGCTTTGAAGGGAAGTCAGCTACGTCGATGCAGAAAAAATGCAGCGAGACATACTCGATCCCCCAAACTGGCTGGAGAAGAGGAGAAAGTATTCAGGAAATGTTAAAAAAGGTGAAAGTAAGAAGAGTTTTAATCGCTCTGCCAGACGCGGGGGTCTCTCCAGAGATTCATAGAGAACAATCTTGAACTTCTTTTTTTAACATTTACAGACTTGCAACTCCTTTCAAACTCCACATCTGAAAAAAGGCTCGCTCTTTTTCTGTTTTATATCATTCTTCATTTTGCTTCCTAGCTCTTAAAATGCCTCACCTTTTTATTACATTTTAATAGAGTCTGCCCCTCTCCTTTCATGCTTGTTTAACTTGGTCATTATTTAAAGGTTTTTAAACTCACAATAATCACTCTCTAAAAACACCAGCCGCCCAGAGGGCTTGCTTTTCTCCTGGTACATCCCGGACTCTGGAAATGGGCCTTGTCTCCAGGCAGGAATATTGAATGTTTAAGAAATCAATCCGTCCTCAGCCTCTCGGCCGCCCGCCGGTAGCTCCGCGTCCTCGACACCCCACGGGAGCCGGGGAGCCGTTCAAACCCCACCTCCTGGGTTCCCGGGATTTAGAGGGGGGAGGGTCCTTTTCCAAGCACGGTCCCCTGGTCTAATCAGCTCAAAGTATGGAAAGACTCACGGCATCCCGAGTCGCAAGAGTTAGGGGACTCTCTTTTCCTTCACTTTCCCACTTTCCTTTTGTGGACCCCAGTGCCGTATCCCCTTTCAAGAGCTTCCCTGAGACCTCGGCCCTTGCACCCTCAGCCTCCACCTGCAGCCGGGTGGCGAGTTTTGGAAAGGGAGATTCCTTGCTTCATTCTGCTGCTGCCCAGAGAGAGGCACCTGTGGGCCAAAATGCCCCCGCAGTCCCTTCCCCAACCAGCCCCTCCCCAGCTGCCAGCCCCCATCCCCCGTCTTTTATTATTATTATTATTATTACTATTATTATTGTTGTTATTATTATTATTGGCCTTAACCCTTTTCCGTCGGAGCGGCAAAGCCAGCAGACCCTCGGGCAGGTCAGCAAGGACCAGAAGAGGCCGACGGCCCCGCAGGCTCCAGGGGAGCGCTCCACAGTCTCCTGTCCCCTCCCGCGGCGGGTCGCGCTTACCGAAGGGGTCACCGTCCTCTGCCATGGCGTTGATGCGCTTGTTGGCCAGGACCTGCACGTGCTTCCCGCTGGTGCGGCTGTAGAGCTGGTAGGTCCGGATGAGGCGGCGGCTGAGCTGATCCGTCACCAGGCTCTGCTCCCTCACATGCTGTGTAAAATTAGGTGAGGACTGAACAGTTACCTTTAGGAAATTGAAAAATACACAACACGCCATTATAATGCTACTCTGCCCAGGGGCCTCAGTGGCCCCCAGGGCCCTGCACCCGCCCACCCCCATCCATTAGCCAAGCAGCCCGTAGGGGCTGGGGGTACCTCCCCTCCCACATGCCAGCTCAGGCCACCCCACCGACCGGGAATGCCGGGCAGACCCATGCAGGCATGGATGCGCCAGGGGTTGGGGGGAGGGCGGGGGAGGAGGGGGGGATCTGGACCCACCTGTTGGGGAACACCCTGGGGCTCCCGGCCAGCTCGGAACAGGGAAGCGAGCTCCCTGCCCAGCGCAGGCCCCCCGCCCGGGCCTTCCTAGAAGAGCAGGGCGCTGTTCAGTACGGAGCCAGCGCTCCCCGACCCCTGACATGTGTGAAGACGCGGACCGAGCAAACGCGGGGCGCGCGCGGGGGCCTCGGCACCTCCCCGGTGCCCAGCTTGCCGCGGAGAAGGTCCCCGCGGCCACCCTCCGGCCTGGGACCGCGATCGCCCCCCCACCCCGTGCCCTTCCGCCGCGTCCAGGTGCGGCCGCCCGCCGGGGTGCCCCCTCCTCCTCCGCCGCAGCCTGGCGGGGCTGGACGGGCGTCGGGCGGGCTCCCCGGACCTGGGCTTTGGGCTGCGCTGTGTGACCCCGGGGCCGGGCGCTCCCTCTCTGAGTCCTAGCTCCCGCCCCCGTCTGGGTCGCGGCGGGGGGCTTCCTCGGGGCTTCCCGCGGCCCGGCCCCACCTGGCCCGCCCGCCGCCCCCGCCGGGCCCCCGCCTGCGCGCGGGGCGCCTCACCTGGGCTTGGAGGCAGAGAAGCAGCAAGTGCAACAGCCTGTGGGAGACAAAAGCGGGCGGAGAGAGGGGCGCGGGGTGAGGGCGCGGGCGCGGGCGCGGGCGGGTGGGGCGCGGGGCGGCGGCCGTACTCACAGGCAGCGCAGCGCAGAGCGGGGGCTGCCCATGGCGCGGCCGGGGCGGCGGCGGCCGAGGGGGGCGCGGGCGGGAGCCCCGCGGCGATCGCGACGCGGCTCGCGGGTCCCGGGGAGCGAGCAGCTGACCGCGCGAGCCGCTGGCCGCTGGCTGCTCGGGAGCCGGCCGGGCGGGAGGGTAACGGGCCGGCCGGGGGGGTGGGAGGGGGAGGGGAGGGGTGGGGCGGGGGGGCGCCGCACCGGGCGCGAGGGGGGGGAGCGCGGGGCGGGCGGCCGGAGCCCGCAAGCCCCGGGCGGGGAGCTGGGGGCCGGGACGCCGCCCGGGGCGGGGGCGGGGCGGGCCGGGGCGGGGCGGCCGGCGGGTCTGGGATTGGGGGTCTGAGATAGAGGAGGGGTCTGGGGAGCCGCGGGAGGGCCGGGGGCGGCCCGGGTGGGCGCCTGCCCGGGTCCCCTCTCTGCTCCTGTCGCGCGCACCCGGGGTCCGGACGCGCGGGGCTGGGGCGCCTTGCACCGCGAGCTCCGTGGGGTCTCGGGACACCCGGGTCGCGTCTGTCTGGGTCGGCTGAGGGGCACAGTGTCAGGTCTTCACTGTGGGATCCGGGGCTCTGAGCTCCTCACAGGGAGCTGCGACCCGCCTGTCCCCGGGGAAGTGACCGACAGCACCAGGATGAATGACGGGGCGCAGGGACGCTAGCAGTGCCAGCGGCTGAGACCAGAACCCCACCCACCCCCACCCTTCTGCTGAGTCCTCTTTCCTGCTGCCCTCCCAACTGACTCAGTCCCCAAGACCCTAAGAGTGAGTGACAAATGTCTCCTCTTCCTCATCCAGTACCCCCTCACCCAGTCCCTGTCACACACATCAGTCCTGAGAGTTCAGAAGAGCAAAGAACACACCCCCAACCCCATCCAAGGGGCCAGCCCAGAAGACCCTTGCAGAATGGCACTCATACCCCCAAAGTCTGTGCCAAACACAGGCAGGCCCAGAGCTGGGGGGCATAAGAGACAAAAGTAAGGATGGGGCCACTTTTCCCCAGAGCCGCCAACTTTGGCGAGTTCCAGGTGCTGACAGTCCTACTGTGTACAAGGGACTCTGCCTCTTGTCAACCACCACAAAGAGCGAGCCCTAGTCAGGAGATGGGGCCTGGTCTTGTCTTTCCCAGCCCCTGACTGTGCCCCCCAGACACTAGAGCTGCCAAGCCACCCGCCCAGTTCTTCCTGAGCATTCTAGGTGACCCAGACACTTCTGAGGAGCAGGTGGGGGCATGGGAGCCATCTCTCTTGACCTCCCTCTCCCCTCAGCCCCCCATGTCTGAGGCGATGGGGCTGGGGGACTTAGTTCCCAGAATCATTGGCCAGTCACTAGATCACAGCCAGTACCTACCCACTCATTCCCTGAACCCAGCCCCAACGCCAACACCATGCAGTTGTAGCTGGGAAAGCAGAGGGCTGCTTCAGATCTTGGGGCCCTCCACAGGCTGCCCCCCTGCAGCCTGCCCTTCAGTCTGTTCACTGAGCTGGCTCTGGCCACACAGAATTCCAAGCAAAGAACCATCTCACAGCCCAGGACTGACAGCTCATGGCCCAGAGTTGGGCAGAGTTGTTCTGGTTTGAAGTTTTTCTTTGTGGGAGCGGGGGTGGAGGTGCGTTGGAGGGGCTCCTCAAAAGTGCTGCAGTGCTGGGGATTAAACCTGGGCCCTGGGCACATCAGGGATGTGCTCTAGGCCCATCGAGCCACCTCCCCAGCCCTGAGTGAGTAACCTGAGAATGCATGTGGGCCTAGGGTGCACTGCTCTGAGCAGTTTCCACAGGGACACTTGCCTTCACCCCTCCCAAAGACAGCAGAGCACCCCCATGTATTGGGCTCTTGTCTCTGCCAAGGACTTGGCTTGCACTTTCTCGTCTGAGCCCCGCTGGGCCCAGTCCTGGAGTCAGCTGAGGGCTTTCAGTGCTTGCTTCCTGGTACGCAGCCCAGGACAACCTCTTTCCTGCACTGCTCTCCTTGGTGAGAGGCATGTGTGGAGCATCTCCAGCACCCAAAGGTGCACAGCTGCAAGCCGGCAAGACACTCCCCCTCCAACCCCCATCTTAACCTCCTGCCTTTAACAGTATCTGTGTAGGGCACTAGATGAGGAATGAGGCCCAAGATCAGAGCAAAGCAGTAGGTAGGAAGAGGCCACCTTTCCACCAGGGATACCCATGAAAAGTCAGATGAGAAAAATGGGGAGCAGGATGCAGGCCAGTGTGAGGCTGACCAGCCCGTCTGTGCGTGTTCATAGTTCTGCAGCCTCTCCAGAGTGATTCTGAGCACCTGCCTACTTGCGGGTCCAGAGGCCTGGTTCAGATCAGCCTCCTAACCTAGATCATCTTTTAGCTTGTTTGCTTTTGGGGGGCCACACCCAGCGGTGCTCAGGGGTTACTCCTGCGCTGCACTCAAGGGTCACTCCTGGAGGGGTTGGGGAATCATATGAGGGGTCAAGGATGGAACCCGGATCTGCAGCGGGCAAGGCAAACACCCTGCCTGCTGTACTCTCTCTGGCCACATAACCCGGATGAGTTTAATCCACCCATCTCCCTCTCCCTCTGTGGGGCAGTCTGCTGGGGCCTGAAGGGTGAGGAGTAGAGGGTTGTAGTTTCACACATTTCTTCACCTCTACAAGCATGCCCTACTTTATTACAGTTTTTTTTTTTGGAGAGGTGGGTTTGTTTTTTCTTATCATTTCCCAAAAGTCCAGTGTATTGAGAGGGTGGGGGGCACATGGGGACATCTCTCGCAGCAGTGGCCGGCTCTGCCCGGCACGCCCCAGTGAGTGACAGATGCAAATAAGCCGACCGTGCCGCAGCAGGCCGCCCGCTCCCTCCCCGGCTCGCTGGTTCTTCTCCGGGCCAGCCTTCTCCTTCCTTTATCTTATCAAAGCCCCGTAATTACAATCGCTATTTTGTTTCCTCGAATCTGCAATCAGAGCTCCTGGGCCCAGATGAGCGAGCGCCTGTCAACCTGATCGCTGAGTGACAGCCCGGCCACCTTTCTCGGCCGCCCCCACACTCCACAAACACAAATACACACACACACACACACACACACACACACACACGCCCAAGCCTCCTGCAAACACAAACACACACTCCGCGCCAACACAAACAATTCCTCTCCGCAAACACGTCCTTGTGGGGACCCAAACACACACACTTCAGTCTCTTCCCAAAAGCATCCCTCGCCCCCCACCAAATTCTCCCGCCACCCCTCAAATCCACACTCCCCGGCGGGCGCGGGCCGCCGGGGCCGCCGCGCCCTGCTACGCGCGTCGCTCGCACCCGGCGTTCAAAGCGTCGCGGACCCTCCGCCGGCAGTTCAAATGCAAATCGCCAAGTCTGCGTTAAGCACTTGGGGGGCCCCCCTCTGGGAGTCGACACCCCCCCACCCTAAGAGAGGTCTGCCCCTCCCCCCCAGGTCTGCTTGCCCCCGGCGGCCGCTTTCACCTCTGCGTGGAGGCCAGGCTGAAACGGCAGCTCCTACTGTGTGCAATGGGCCGACCCGGGGATGGAGGGGTGGGGGCGGGGATGGATGAAAATTCCAGGCTGTCTGCGGGGTGCCCCGTCGGCCCGGCCAGCTCCAGCGCGCAGAGGTAGATGTGGATTGGGCCCCCACTGCGGGCAGGAGCGCGCTCGGCGCCGAGGAATACAATGAGGGATCAGCGGCGTCGCGGGGGCTAAATATCGGGGCGGGGCCCCGCGCGGGGGGTCGACGGGTCGGCCAGCCGGGCGCGCTCGCCACGCAGCCGCGCCTCCCCGTTGTCGCCTGCAACTTTGGGTGCGATAGGGCGAGAGGAGGACGGAGAGGACCAACAGGACCCCCTCCCGGCGAAGGAAGGGACGCACGAAGGAAGAAGTCGGGCTTCTCGACTCATCTCCCAGCCTTCTGTCTAATATTGGGCGCCCGGGACACTCGGGGGACGCGCGGGACGAGACCCCGCGCGCAGATGCCCTAAAGGTGGCAGCGTGGTAGCGCCGCGGGCACCGGCGGGTCCCACCTCGCCCACCAGAGGGCGCCAGCCCACCTCCCCTTCCCGCCCGGGCCAGCAGCCACGCGAAGGTGTGCGGTCCACGGCGCTTTGCCCTTCCTCCCCCACCCCCCTCCTGTGGAAGCACGTCTGAAAGCTCCTGGAGAAGAGACAGGAGCCTGCGGCCCTGAACCCTGCAACAGACAGGGACAGGTCATCCTCCTTTACACCCCTCACCAACTGGAGGGGAGAAGGTCCCCTAAGGATGCATCAGAGGAGTGCCTTTCCAGTGTCCCGGGGACACTCCGGAGCAGACCTCACCTGCCTCAACATCAGGCTCTTGGGTGTTATCAAGTGGCGCTCCACTTGTCCACTAATTTGCCCAGCAAGAGGTGTGGGTGGGAACAGGTCTGGCCCTGCCAAGCTCATTCTGTCCCTCCCAGTGTGTCTGGCCCCAGGCTATCTCAGGAGGTCACCTTTTGTGTTTGTTTGTGGGACACTGAGCCCTCCTGCCCCCCAGGAGCTGATGAACTGCTGACCCCGGCTTTGGTCACATACACTACGGGGGTCCACCAGGTCCATTTTTCTCTTCCTGGCTCCGCTGCAGCAAAGTCCAGAACCATCAGATTCCAAGAACAGAGCCACCCAGACTGGGCCGTGTGGTGTGAGCGGGAGGCTGACTCCCAGGGGCCCCGCTCTGCCCCCATATGCCAGGCCACCGGGATTCTAGTTTCCCTGTCACCCAATCTGGCCAGCCCCTTCCATCTGGTCCCCGGAATCAAGTTTCTAAAGGCTCAGATCAGCTCAAAGACTGTCTGCAAGACAGAAAGGAAGAGCGGGGACTGGCCACCACCCTACCCTTCCTGGGCACACTCAGGGCCAAGCCCCCTCATGGGTTAGGGATGCACATTCCTCGGGCTGCTTAAGCCCTCTTATCTCCTCCCCTGCTCATCAGCCTGAGTGCTGACAGAGGCGCAGACTGCTTGTTTGGATGCTGATAACCTCCTGGATCGGCCCTCCCCCACCTGGAGGGGCTGGAAATGGCTTGAGGTTGGGAGGTCCACTCCCAGCAAGGCAGTAGGGACCGGGCCCAGGGAACAGAATCCCACTCCCCCAGGGCCACACTCTATGCTGCCAGAGTGCCACCTGGTGGTCCCTAGGGGAATACCACCCCAGCAGGAGAAGAAGCCACACAAATGAATTAATTGCAAAAAACACTCCAGGCCACTTTATTTCAACCTTTATCCAAAAATGTAAAAAGTGTTACAAATACGTAGCCCTGGGCTAGGACTACAAGAAAGGAGAGAAAGTGCCAGGGTAGGAGTTCAGAATTCCTCCCACTCCTGGAAAAAAGGAAATCCCAGATAGGTTTGGCAGAGGCTTAGAACAAAACCAGGATCCTGTAGACAACACGATTCTCTCTCCCAGCACCCCACCTTCCTCTTCAATGGAGAAGACACATTTAAGATTTTCAGAACTTGTACAGGAACATGGTACATGGCACACACAGTAGAGAATTCGATGACCTGGGGAGAGTGAACGCGGGGTCAGCATTGGCCCACCAGCTGCCCCTCCTACCCTGGCCAAGCACCCCTCTCCCACTCACCCAGGACTAGGGTCTGCCCCCCTGCTTCTTGGCAGGCAGGATGGAGCACAATTCAACCTCGTCTTCACTCTCCTCCTCACTCTCTTCTTCCTCAGAAACATCATTGCTGATTGTCACTGACGGACACACAAAGAAAGGGAGACTGTTAAAATGAGATCCCTCTTGAGCCTAGGAAGATGCCCGAAGGACTGAGCGTTGGTTCTACAAGCACGGAAGTGAAGCACCAGTAGTGCTGGGTGTGGCCCAAACCCACACAACACCCACTCACTCCGCACCACATGATCATTCAAGTCCTAGGCTCGCAGGGCCCCTGGCCTCCCAGAATGGCCCCTGGCCAGTACCAGTGGATCTCCCAACCTCAAGCCCATTTCCAGCCCCTCCAGGTGGGGGAGGACCAATCCAGGAGGAAGAAATAAACTAGGTGAACACGGTGCACCAAGTCCCTATCATATGCACGGGGAGAGGGAGGCAGAGGACGACACTGGTGGAGAGCTTCCACACTGGGGCAGAGTGTTGGGACCCGATGCAGAATTCTCTGGAAGCAAAGAACTCTCACCAATCTGGTGGCGCCCAGTGATCCTAACTGGACCAGACCCTGACTGCAGACGGAAGGTCACTGGCGGCTGGAGCTGGAAGTCATCCAAACTGAGCTGGAAGAAAGACAAACACCAAGGCCCGGTTCAGTACATCTCCCGAAGAGACCCGAAGCCGTCCTGAAGCTGACCCCATCCCCACTCCCTGCACCCCCGCCTGGCCAGAGAACTCACCATGGGCTGGCAGGACAACTTGAGGTTGGCCACAGGGACAGCAATCTCCTGATGGTCGTGGTTCCGGGCCACAACTTCCACCACGTTACACTCGTCTTTGGCCCCCTCGGTGAGGCAGAGCTGGAAAGGGAACACGGGGCGTGGGGATGTCTGCCCAAGGGCCAACGGACTGACACCAGAAGCGGTGGCTGCTCCCCCGGCATTTGCTCAATCTATGGGTCTGGAAAGCCGCCCTCGCGCGCGACAGGAAGAGGGCGGGCGTGAAATCCGGTGGTCCTCTCGGCCTCCCCCTCCCCTGCCCCTCACCATGGTCAAAGCCAGCACGTGCTCGGCGTCGTCCTCCTCCTCTACCTTGAAGGTGTAAGAGCGGGTGTGGCCAGAGAGCTCGCAGCCTGGAAGACACAAGTTGGGGTCCGCGCGCACGTGCGCGCGTGGGCGGCGGTTGGTGGGGGTGGGGGTGGGGTTCACGTGCGGCCCGGGCCCACCAGCCAGCCACACGCCCACTCGTCGGCGACACCCGGGGCGCCCAAGCTCGGGCGCAGGCCCGCGTGCCTGGCGCCCGGGGGTCTCACCCGCCCCTTGGGCTCCAGCTGCCGCCGCCCAGACCCCCGCCCGCCCCCGCGCACGCCAGACGAGCAGCTGTTCTCCGGCTCCCCCGCCGCGCCCGCAGAGCCCCCGCCCCTCTCCTCGGTACCGAAGAAAAAGCTGTCCATCGTGACGGGCGCCGGGAAGCGCAGACCCCCGACGGCCCCGGCCCGGGATCGGCTCTCCTGGCCCAGCAACGCCAAGGCGGCGGCGGCGCCAGCGGCCATGCTGCAAGGGCCGTCCCGGAGCTCCGCCCCCGACACGTACAAAGCCGCGGACTCCCGGCGGCCCCGGCCCCGCCCCTTAAAGGAGCCGCCCGCGCCGGAGGCCCGAGAGGGCGAGTGCGGCCGGGCGCCCCTCGCCCCGGCGACGGCGTACCGCCGCGGGAGGGGATCGCGGAAGCGCGGGGTTGGGATCCCAGCTCAGGGCCTTGCTCACTTCCTCGCCCCGGGCGCTCTCCGGGCGGCTCCGGTCTCCCCGGTCTTCTTGGGTCTCTAGCTCCTCCTTCGCCTCTACCTTTCCCTCTCCCGCAACAAAGGTTAAAAAAGATTTGGTTGATAAAGGAAGAATCCAGCTTCTCCAACCAAGGCAAGTCTCAGGACCGCCTATTTAAGCGAAGGGAGCGCACTCAGACGTGTCTTTGCTGAGCCCAGGAGCCCGAAGACGCCTTCCCCTCAACCCACTCTTCCCTCCTAGATAGCAAGCTTCGGGCCTGGATTTAGAACCCAGAATGCCCATCTTCCTGGCAGGGAGCTTGCTCTTAGTTAAGGAGATTAGCCCAGATCGTGGCACTGTTGCTCCTGGAGGACATGAACGTTTCCGCTTGTTTTGCTTTGTGGGCCACACGGAGCGTCGCTCAGGAGTTACTCTATGATGATGCTCAGGGACCCCGCCTGGCAGCTCCTTATGGAAGTCTTATGAGGTGCCAGATATCGAACCCAGGCTGGCAGCCTGCAAAGCAAGCACCCTACCCTCTCTCAGTCCCCATCTTTTGACCATATAAATGCAAAACTACCCTCAAATGGCCCCTGCCTTGGACTCCTTGATTTCATAATTTGCCCTATTTCCATCTTACACCTTTTTACTGAGGCTTGGACAAACTCGGGTCATTATTCTTTATGTGGCAGGAACTCACACAAAGGAGCTGCCTAATTCACACCAAGTTATAACCATTAAAGTCAAGAGCCAGTCTGTCTGCTTTTCTTAGCCTTTGCCTCGCCTTTAGAAAACATTTCCCTAGAGATCTGGGGCGTGGAAGAGGCCGCCTTGAACATCCGGTTCCTGCTGGACGGCTGTAGAGGGGTAGCACACTTGCTCCAAGAGGAGGCAGGGTTGACGGGAGGAAAGACGGGAGGAAAGGCAGGAGGCAGAAGAGGGAGGTTTATAAAGAACACCACCAAATTGACTTCAAGTTTTATTTGCCTCTTGCATGGTCTTCAGATAGTTTTACAGTCTGTTTTCTACAGGAACTGAGCTGTGATCTAAACAATCAATGAAATGTCATTCCAACCTTAATAAATATTCGTAACCATAGAAGATAGCATAGCACTTTATACAATCCTACAGTGATGAAGGTGCAGGCCTGGACACCAGCTTCGTTGCTGGCATCTGTGACCAGAAAACCAGCGAAAGTGATTATTAAAAGCCCAGATAAAGCCGTAAGCAGTTATTAAAAATCCTGATTCCATAGGAGGCTGACCCTGAAATCCTCCAGATAAATACTAGAATTTCCACAAGTGTACAAAATGTACTTAAAAGATAAAAACCAAATGATTATTAGGTCATTTAAAACAATATAGTGATCTTCCCTTCACCTCAGTCCTTGAAAAAAACAAGTTCCAGATTTCCAATACATCATGTTCTTTTATGTGCTGAAGGTTCTGCCATAAAAATGAAGATCCTTCCTTCCTCCCACCTCTCCTATTCAATGCACATTCACAGGTCTTAAAGTCACGTAGGTACCATTAGGTACAATGCTTTCATATTCAATGCCCACACTGATGGAATTCTATGATGAAAAATGATCCAAGTTTTCTTCTCCTTGCCTCTTTCTACCTCAGCTCAAAGTTAAACAGCTGATTAAAAAAAAAAAACTGCAAGGAAGCAAGATAACAAATTAATGTTATGAATCTCTGGTCATAGAAGTCAGCCAGCCATGATGAAAAAGTGATTCCTGCAGAGAATACCTGTTAAGCCTCATGCTCATAACCCTTAAAAACACCAAATTTAAATAAAAATACATGAAGTTCTCAGAATCTGTGGTTAAAGGAAAAAGAAAAGGGCAACCATAGCAATGGTTAAAAGTGTGCTCATTCTTTTAAAAACATACAAACATGCAAGAATTAAAGACTGATTTAATAAAACCAGTAGTAACAGGTCTTGAAATTAAAGGACAACTGACCTGAGGGCAAGAGAAACCAGTAAGTCCCTGCACCCTACCAGGCAGATGTCAAAATTAACATTTCACATGCTGACCTGCATTGAGGGTAATTTCCAAAAGTTAGTGCACTCTGCAACCATTAGTATTAAGTAGTCAGGCTCTCTACCCAAAGTGGTCACAGCCCGGGCCTAGGTAGGTAGGAGGCACTTCAAAAATAAAACATCTTAAAAAAAAAAAAAAGACAAAGGTAAAGAAAATCCACCTTCCATTGATATACATTATTCAAGGTGGATCCCTGAACCACACCTTTTCATTTTCAAAGAAAGAAATTACAGAAACAGTAAACACAAAGGATAGTCAGGTCACAGGTAGTTTATGTACAAAAATTTTACAAGTTTGTAATTTTTAGGCTTTGCCACAAACAACTGCACATCTGTCCCTACAAAAGCACAACATGCCTGAACCAATGGTCATTATAGGAGACGACTGGCTGTGGCTTACAAAAGGCAGAAAAACTATCCATAACTGAAACTGTTTATTCAGCTTTTAACCATGCTGCAGTCATCCCACAGAGAATCGCCACCTTGAAGCCTCTGAAGCTCACTAAATCTTTCTTATCCCTGCCAAATCCCCAAAGAATGAAAAATACTTCATTCAATTAAGCAGAGGAGGATGACAAATGTTGATCACTCTTAGGTGAGAAATGCAACCACACTGGATGCCTAAAATAGTGCCAACTACATTTATTGGCCCCCCTCCCTGTAAGCCCACGTAAAAAGTCTTGACACCTAATTCAAGACACAAAATAAGGAGGCCCATATCCCTGCTTCATGTAAGATTTGAGGCAATACTATCTTCTTCCAACCTGTGAGTAGTCTGAGTGTGAGATTTCAACAGTCTTCTTTGTTTCCAATCCCAATTGGCCGATCTGCTGTCACTCCAGAGGCTAAACTGCATGAAGACCCTTCAACACCACCCACTAGGTGAAGTTAAGAGACTTTTGGACAGTTTACAGTTATGACACAAATGTTACAGGCTTCGACCAAGTATAACCACATCCTTCGGAAATCCTTCCATTTTTGCAATTTCGAAACAGCCTAACTTGCTGTAAAATTCCAGAATTCTTTTATCATCTGGTCTTACTTCACAGAAAGCCCCCCTCGAACCTACAAATAAAACAAATAGTCAAAATATAAGTAAATGCATGGACATAAATTAAATTAAGTGATTAAGTGATTAATAGTAGTTTACTTCAAAATTTAATAATATTTAACAACACAAAATACTACAATGGTAACTATCTTTGAATGGGGGTGGGAGGCAGGTTTCCCACGCAGTGGTTCAGGGGTCCTGGGGGGACACCCCCAGAGATAATCAACTTGGAATGGGGGATGGAACAGCTAAATGTTGGGACCTGGTGACACAGATCACTAGGGCCACTCCTGGCAGGGTTATGGATGAGATGGAATTTATGTGGTACAGATCATCAAATAATTGGGCCTCCTTTCATTTCGTGCACTCCTGGTAAACTCTCTCTGGGGAAGTGTTGGGCACATCTGGCTGGGTCCAGTGGTGCCAAGTACCCCACAGAACCAGAGAGCAAATCCAGGCCTCCATGATGAAAAGTATATTTTGCACTAGCTCAGCCCACTGAGCGACCACCCTGGCCCAGGGGAAACTAACATTAAGTGAAAGGTATACTAATTTGAATGCAGTGATTATTTAAAATATAGACAATTCTTTATTTTTGTGCCACACTCAGTAGTGCTCAGGGACTACACTCCCACACTCCAACTCAGGGAACCTTGCAGTGCTCAAGGTGCCATACAGTCCTGGAGCTTCTGCCTGCAAAACAAGTATTGGAGTTGCCCCATCTCCTTTTTATTTGGTTTTTGGGTCACACCAGGCAATGCTCAGGGGTTACTTCTGGCCCTGCACTCAGCAATCACTCCTGGCGTTGAACAAAGATCATATGGGATGCTGAGGATCTGAACCTGGGTTCACCACATGCCAAGACAAGTGCCTTACCCTCTGTCCTATCTCTCTGGCCCATCTTCCTTTTCCGATTTTTTTTTTTGTATTTCAGTCACACCTGGCAATGCTCAGAAGATCATAAGGGATGCCAGGGATCCAACACAGGTCAGCTGCGCGAAAGGTAAGTGCCTGCTGAGCCCTTTAAGCTTTCTCCTTGGAACCATAATGTACTTCTTGGAGCTGGAGAGATATCTTAACAGGATAACTGCTTGCTTTGTATGCAGGAAGCCCAGTTTCAATTTTCACACCAAATGGTCCCCAGTCCATTTTAGAATGTGATTTAAGTTATTACATTATATATATATATATATATACATATGTGTATATATATGTGTGTGTGTGTACATACATATGTACGTATATGTATAAAAATGCTTAGCTTTGAACCTGGGTTCACCACATGCAAGATAAGTGCCTTAACCTCTGTACTACCTCTCTGGCCCAGAAAAAAAGAAAGTCTTAACTGTCAAAAGTGCCTCCACTGAAAATTGTAAAAACTCAACATGTGGGGCCAGAGTGATATAGTACAGCAGGTAGCCTGCTTGCCTTACACGTGGCGGATGTGGATTCGATCCAACTGCCTATAATTCCTGAGTATAGAGCCAGGAGTAACCCCTGAGCATCACCAAGTGTGGCCCCAAAAGAAAAAAAATAAAAATTCAACATGAGCACAACATCCTCATAAAAGAAAACCTTTGGGGAAGAGGTTGTAAGAAAACTCAAAGCAAAGAACACCTTTACCATTTTTTTAATCAAGAACTTCTGAGACACCAAAGGCAGAAACTTTCAATCTGTAGTCAATAAAACCTGAAAGTGCTATATATTCTAAGACATACCTCATACTTAATTCAGTTCAAGCCCAACTCTGAGGAATTATATTTTCTTCAGTTGTTCAAAGTATTTCATGTAAGAGTGACTCAAATGATAAAATGACTCAAATGATAAACATACAACAATCCTCTAATGGGGATCAAACCAGATGCTCATTTTTGTGTTACCCAATAGTTAAAAGGGTTGTTCTAATTTATTCTTCTTTATTTTTATTTTTGGGGACCACACCTTTGATCAGGGCTGATTCCTGATTCTGTGCTCAAGGGTCATTCCTGGTGGTACTCAGGGGAAAACATGGGGTGCTGAGAATCAAACTGGGGTTAGCCACATGGGAGATAAGCACCTTACTCGCTGGACTATCTCTCTGTCCTTTAACTTTTATTTTAACCCCTACAATATAATTCTGTCTCTACCATGTTCAAACAGAAGGAACTCCATAAAGATGTACTCACCATTAGCCTTCAATGAAGACAGAAGACAAGCCATCATGCTTTTAGCTACACTTGGGTCAGTCACTTTCTTGTGAATATCCATCTTTATCAGAGAAGGAAAGTTGGCAAGGAAAGTTTCTGGTAACACTTCCTGTTCTTCATGGAAACTCAACATTATTTTCTGTAACAATCAGGAAGAATCTCTTGAAGGAAATACAGATATACACATACACATACATATACAGACGCACATATGTATAATCCAAGTATTGAACTTAACAATAGAATATTCAATAACTCTTCCAGTTATTTTATAATGATCACAGATAAATTAGTTTATAATTTTAGCTGAAGCATTTTCAGTGCTAAAAGGTTTATTGTGCCTTACTCTTCAAGCCTATGCTATCCCCTAAACATGTGTTTCATTTGCTAATTGTATTGTGACTTTTTTCTTTCCTTCCACTCCGGAGAAGCCCACGTTCTCACTTGAACACATATTTCTACTCTTTCTCTCCTACAACATCTTTGTAAGCAAGCTTCGTCTGATAAAACTTGGGGCGAGGGAGATAATACAGGAAGTAAGGCGCTGGCCTTGCACTCAGCAGACCCAGGTTCAATCCCCAACACCCCTTATGGTCCTCAGAGTTCAGCACCAGGAGTGATCCAGAGTGCAGAGTCAGGAGTAACCCCTGGGCACCAACATGTGTGGCCCCCCCAAAACCAATTTCCCCCTAAAAATAAAGGTAAAGGTAAAGGCCCTCCCATTGATCATCGATTTGCTCGAGCGGGCCCAGTAACGTCTCCATTGGAGACTTTGTTGTTACTGTGTCTGGCATATCGAATACTCTCAGTAGCTTGCCCGGCTCTCAGAGAGGGGCGGAGGAATCGAACTTGGGTCGGCCATGTTGGCTGCGTGCAAAGCAGACGCCCTATCCGCTGTGCTATCGCTCCAGCCCTAAAGCCCCCCCTAAAAATAAAGAAAACAAAAAGAAGAAACTTTAGGACCCAGGATCGGTTCAGTGGCACTGCCTCCACCACAGGTAAGAGATTTGATCCTTGGCACCATCACTGAGTGCAACCCTGGCAACTCAGCTGTTTGGAATCACCAGCAACACAGCAAAGCATGTGCGCCCCTGGTAACGTAACCATGTATGCAGTACTACAACCAAGTGAACCATCTCACTGAAGCAGTAAGAGGTTGGGTTATAAAGTTTATTGCTTTTAAGCACATTTTAGCAACTCAAGGGAGGCCAGGAGACAACTCAAGGGGCAGAATGCATGCTGTAGGTATAAGAAGCCCGGATCAAAATAAAACTCCTTACAGATCTCGGAACCCAGCAGGTTTTGGCAGAAATCCCTCCAAATTTAATTGTTAAAACTTCAGAATTCCAAAATCACGTGGCCACTACTGCAGCTATGCAACACCATATGTTATTCGTAACCAGCAATAGAAAACAAATTGTCTAGTGTTGCCTTTTCAGCAGATCTGAGTGTTGGGGTAAAATCCCAAATAATAATGGTGGATCTGGTGTCAAAATACTGAATGCAATCAAAGTAGACAGAGAGTAATGTGGAAATCATCTGCCCCACGGGTAGAGGAGGGCGTGGGATGAGGGTATACTGGGGTTTTTAGTGGTGGAGAATGGGCACTGGTGAAGGTACGGGTGTTTCATTGTATGACCAAGACTTAAACCCGAAAGCTTTGTAACTGCTCCACGGTGATTCAATAAATAAAATTATTAAAAAATGAAGAAAAAAAAAAGTAAGGTGGAGTTCATGCCCAATTCAATCAACTAATCTAGTGGCTGAATAAATAGCAGTACTCCTACATTAAAAAAAAAAACCCTCCTTGGGGCTACAGAGATTGTGCAGCATGTAGGGCACTTGCCTTGCATGCAGCGAACTCAGGTTCAACCCCTGGCACTGCATATGGTCCCCAAGTTCCATTAGAAATAATCCCTGAACAGAGCCCAGAGTAAGCCCTGAGAACTGCTGGGTATGGCCCCCAAACACGCAAAATTACTTATAATGTACTGGGGCCAGATACCTCAGTGGTCAGGGGGCACACACAAAGCATGTATTTGAACCTGGGTACCATGTGGCTTCCTAAGCATCTGTGGGTGTGACTCTGGAGGCCCTGTCACATTGCCAGAATAGTCCCGGTGGTCCCTGGCACCACAGAGCTAGAGCAGCCCCAAAACCTTAAGCTTCTGCAGTGAACTGGCCCGGTCCAGTTTGGCCAAGTGTTTGCTGAGTAGCCCCTAGGTCTCTGAATACCATTTGGGGAAAGTCCTCCCTCCAAAACTGATCTGCTGAACTGTAGACCAAACTGACCAATGTGGAGCGTGAACTTTATAGAAAAGGAATTCCCTAAAGTGAGAACAGCACTGTTCCTGTCACAAAGTAACTCCCAAGAGCAGCTTAGCCCCATGACTCTTAGTTTGGAGCCACGTCTGGCAATGCTCCGGGGCTACGGGGTACTTCCCTATCTGTGCTGGGGCTAACAGAGGCTTTGCTGAAGGAAACAATGTAGTGCCAGGACTCCCACATACAAAGCCTTGTTCACTGAGTTGAGCAATCTCTGTCCTGTATTTTTTTTATTTGGGGGTTTCACTGCCAGATCACACCTGGCAGTGCTCAGAGGCTATTCCTGACCTGGAGCTCAAGAGTCAAACCTGGGTCTCCTGCAAGCAAAGCCAGTACTCCAGCTCTGGAGCTATGTTCTCTGGCCCTCCTCTACGTTTAACTACAATGAGGAAGCAAGCGAGCTGTCTAATCACCAAATAAAATTTTGTAAAAAACCCGCCTCCCTCTACCTTAACTTTGCCGAGTAACCAAAGAAAAAGATATAACATTCTTAATTCAGGTGCTCAAAGCTTAGGAAACACTTCTGTCTCACCCCCAGAAGTGCTCCAGAACCCAGAAGCCATGTGGTGCAGGGGACTGAAGCCAGAGCCTTCCACTTGAGCTACACGTGGGCCTTATCTACTGTGTTTTTAAATAATTAGAACACTCCCAAATCAAAATCTGTCTTGGGGCCTTGATGTGGCTCTAGTGGGAGAGCACATCTTCACTATTCGTGTGGCCCAAGGTTCACTCTAGAGCTAGAGAGACTATAGCAGACAGGGTGCTTGCCTTGACCGTAGCCAACCTAGATTCAATCCCCTGCATCCCGTATGGTCCCCCAAGCACGGCCAGAAATAACTCTGAGTGCAGAACCAGGAGAAAGCCCTGAGAAGTGCCAGGTGTGGCCCAAAATACAGAAGAAAAAACCCAAGGTACTTCCTACCCAGCCTCCCCCACAATAACCACCATGCATGATATCCCCCAAAAACAACCAGGACAACAAAAGAACCCTTTAATAAAATGAACATTATAGAAAACAATGAAAAATGTTTCAAGAATGATCCCTAATGTTTTGAGAGTAAGTCCTAAAAATTCTTTTCTGTAACAAACCCAGAAGCACTGTGATTTGACAATGTTTCTACTTATTTTTAATACGTATATTACTGGAGAAAACAAAAACCTCCATATTCCAAAGGATAGCATGGGTGCCTAAGCTGCCTGCCTTGCAAGCTTGATACAGCCTCCTGCGTGCACCAGGCACAATCTGAACAGCTGGTTTCTGTGCCCCCTAACATTGCCAAAAGTGACTTCCGGTCCTGTTGCCAGGTGTACATGCGCATCAAAAGAAGAGGTGCAGGGCCGGGAAGATAACACAGTGGGTAGGCACTTCTTGCTTTACATGAGACAGACCTGGGTTTGATTCCTGGCATCCTGTATGGTCTCTGGAGCACTACTAGGAGTGACTCCTGAACGAAGAGCCAGGAATAACCCCTGGGCATCATAGGTGTGGCCCCAAACAGAACAAACAAAAGGTGCAACTACCAGTGAATGTAACCAAAAAGATGTGCAAGCCCCACAGCCATAACCTGTGTGCCTCAACTAAAAGACCTCCCCCACCCCACCCGTGACCATGTGTGTAAGCACTACAAATAAAGGAGTACAAGGGCGAGTCACAGTACAGTTCAATCCCCACTACCCCAGGTGGTCCACTGAGCACTGCCAGGAAAGACCCCTGAGTAAGAGTCGGGGTAAGCCCTTAGCACTGCCAGCCAGCACGGCTCAAAAACAAGAACAAAAGGGAGTCAAACCTCAGTGAGCACCACATCCCAATGTGTGACCGTGAGGAGCAGCACAGCCGAGCGTGTATGAAAACCCACCCTGCAACTTCAATAACGACTACTGTGGGCATGGGGGGTGGGGGTGGGGGCGGCTCGGTAGCCACCTTCCATAGACTAATTCTGACCCACAGATTACCTCAGCCTCAGAAAGTTCTTTATCACCATTTGGCTTGGTATACTTCTCCTGCATGAAGGGAATCCAGGAAATTTTACATTTCTTAATGAAGGGGGTCACATCTACTGTGCCCAGGGCATAGCCACATATGCCATCTTCATCTTCTAGGACAAAACAGTAATCCAGGCTGAGAGAAAGCAGTCCTCCTACCAATCTGCTCAGAAGAAAAGAACAGTGAGTTTTCATGATACTAATACACACTTCCAGATTTTGGTGACTTAAGACCAGTTGACAACCAGTGGAAATTATATTGAGCCTAGGAAATTAAAAATATGTGCATATTAGGGCCTGGAGCAATAGTACAGCAGGTGAGCGCTTGCCTTGCATGCTGCTGACAAGGGTTCAATCCCTAGTACACCATTATGCCCCTTGAGCCCACCAGGAGAGATCCCTGAGCAGAGCCAGGAATAAGCCCTAAGCATCACCAGGAATGGTTAACCCCCCCTCCCAAATAAATGTATATATCCATGTTGGTTTTAATTTTATTAAAATTAAAGCGATGGGCTAGAGAGTACAGCCACGGATAGGGCAGGTATGATCCAGGTTTGATCTCCAGCATCCCTCCATCACTTCCAGGAGTAATTCCTGAAGGCAGAGCCAGGAGTAACCTCTTTGTATCTTCAGATGTGGCCAGGTGTGGCCCCCAAAGAAATAAAAAACTTAATGTGAAGTTTCTAAAGAAAATAATTTTCAGTCTTTGCTTCCCCTGATAAACATGGCCAAAAAATTATCTATTCCCAATTGAACAATACAATCCAAATTTATTTCATCACATACTTGTCTCCAATAAGGTCAGGCTGACTTTGAAAAGGTAAACCCACTCCATCGTCATACATTTCTCTGCAAATCTTGTACACGGAAGCCTGAAAATACAATCCAGTTAAACGACGCATCTAGAAAAATGGCCACAGAATCTTAACAGTATTACTGAATCTTGAGAAGTAATAAATGCCTGAATTGTCATATATAACACTCCTATTAGTTAAGTCAAGAGCTATTGACTGGAAGCTGGAGAGATAGTACAGAGAGTTAAGGTACTTGATCTGCCTTGCATTCAGTCAGTATCAGTTTGAATCTCCCACACATACAATTCCCAAGCACAGCCAGGGGTTATTCCGGAGCAAAGAGCCAGGCGTGGCCCCCTGAGAACCACTAGATGTGGTCCAATGCCCTGAACCCCTCAAAAAAAAAAAAAGAGGATTGAGTCATATTTGAAAACACAGTAGAAAACAGCATGGTCATAGTAAATATTTGAGAACTAATTTTGCAGAGGATAATTTTAGGAAGTCTCACAATCGAGACGTTACTGGGCCTGCTCGAGCACATCGATGATCAATGGGAGGACAGTGCAGTGCTAATTTTAGGAAGAAATTAAATTCAAAATGGCCATAAAAGCCAACAAATTATGAAGCTAAGTCTCCAGTTTTCTATATACCTGAAATGTTCTAAACATATCTTGAGGGCAAGGAAGATGGGTCATAGGGCTGTGGTGAATGCTTTGTAGGTACGAGGATAATTTTGAATCCCCAACACCACAGCGACTCCTGATACCACCACCCAGTGATACCCCCAACCCAGAACCAAGCTGAAAGAAGTCTCTGAACACTGCTAGGTATAGTCTAACAAAAAGTGAGACTCTACACAGATTTGTTTTCTGATTGCTGATTGTAGCTACCCGAAGACATTTCCCAGTTTGTAGACACTTCACAACCCAAAATTGCAGAATACTGGGACTAGTGAGCCCAATGGACTGGAGCCATGCTTTATATGCAGAAGTCAGGTTTGATCTCTGGTATCACATGATCTGAGCAGCACTGAGTGGGACGAGCCCTTCCCCCACTCACTCCCCAACATCACCAGCTGTTTCCCACCCCTCTCCTGCTGGGGAAAATAAAATTTTAGGGCCAGACAGTAAGGACATTAAGGAGCTTGCTGTGCATGTGGTCATCCCCAGTTAGGTCCTAGCACCGCATATGGTTCTCTGAGCACCACTAGAAATGATCGCTGAGCACAAGCCAGAAGTAACCCCAGAGCAGTGCTGGTTGTCAGCCCCAAAACTTAAAGCAAACTCCTATTTTAAATACAGAACTGACTCTTCTAAGCAGTATGTTAAAAAAAAATACGTATGCATCACAACCATTATATATCAAGCTAGAGGGTAAGCAATTACCTCATCTTTAGGAAAGTATGGTCTGATAGTATAAACTTTGGAGGTGGGAGTCAGTGGGGGTGGTTGAAAAAAGAGATCATTTGCCCCATCAATTGGCAGCAAACGCTGTGGAAAGGAAAAAAAGGGAGATGAATTAGTGGTCAGAAGATAGTCATTTCTTTAAATGGGTGTACACTGCAGATTACCAACTTAACATTAACTGCCTACTGCAGGCAGACCTAAAGAGGAGGGGTGTACTATGCTTTACTAATATAAACACCTCTTTGCTGGGGAAGGGGGTTGCTTCTGCATAGAAATTACCCAAATTGAGTTACATAGCTTTTGTTGCATATTAATAGCAATTTAAATTTACAGTAAAAAATAAAAACAAAAACAAAAAACTATTCCAATTATGATAAATTTTTTTTAAAACCAATCTTATATCAACCATCTCTACTAAAAGATGGCAGAACAGAATGTCAGGAGGAGAGGTTTGGTCTGAAGAGGGTTATCTGTCCAGGAGACGCTATATCCCCAAAGCAATGCGCTTCAGTTTGCTGTGCGCAGCAGAGCACCTGTTGGGGGGAGAAAAGTAGAGCACCCGAAAAGTCCATGAACAAATTCCAACACCAAAGGGCTTCAGGTTTTGTCCAATTTCCAATAAAACTATTCTTTGCGTATGTGAGCTTTATTTATGGGATAATTGGGAAAGCATCCAAAGGCCCTTCCACCAATCGTGCAACACAGTCATCTTTTTTGCTCATGGAGTTTCCACTGGCAGACAAGCATGCGCGCATTGTGCATTGCGGGCGCAGATTAAAATGCTGTGCGACCTGCAAAGAAACAATGTGAAGTGTATACCTAGAGCCGCTTGCGCTTCGCAGGCGCGGGGGAATTGGCAGCATCTCCTTCAGAAATTACTGTGAAAGAGGAGGAAAATTTAATGTAAAATTCAGCTATGTAACTAAATTGAATTTGGGACTAGAGAGCCTTCGGCAGACCAATCCTTCCAGCCATCTGATGCGCAACATAAGGTTTCTCATAAAACAAAGAAAATGTCAATTCAGTTGTGAATTCATATTGATACCTGGAACTCTCCTGCTAGACCACCTCTAAAGGCCCAGGGTTCTTGGTCTCCAATTAAGAACTGTGCTGAAGAATGACTACGACACCCTGTTGAGATCAGATCCAAGCGGAGAACGTTACGAGAAAGGGGATTTCCTGGGGTCTAAAACGTCCAACAAACTAACAAACACTTGTGGAAATAGCTTTCTAACTATAATAATCCAGGGTTTCAGGACAAGGCTGTGATAATAATTTTTTCAGTTATAATAGAACTTAAACATTGATCTTCTTTCCTCTGATTAGTGGAAATAATTTTTTAAGAATTCTATCCTTAAGTTATTAGGAGGAAAATATGAAGTCCCTCTTGGTCAAATTTAGAAATTCCCTAGATACAAGTATGAAAATTAAACTAGCTGCTTGCTCTGAAGTAAAATTATAGTTACTACAAAGGCAAATGAATAATATAATGGTATGTTATTATCACAGCCCATGAAGGAATTAAACCTGTCTGAAGTCACATTTTACATTTGGTGGAAGGGTACAGGAAAGGGGGATAAAGAGGAAAGGGTTGATCTTGTCAGAAAACTAAGGTCAACAAATAAACAAAGAGCATTTGTGTTCAGTAAATTGACGAAGAATTATAATTAGAATTTAATTTTTTTCCTGATAAGGATGTCCAAATTCAGATCTGGTTAGAAATAATACCAGTCTGTCAGAGTGTGGGAATTAAAATTTTACCAGAGTGAAGACATACTTTCTTAAAAGTATGACAATTTATAGCTTTACTAATCAAAATGGTGCACTGAAGACATGCATAGAAATGCATTATAGGAGTCAGCATTAAGGCAAACACTTAACCAACTTTCACAGATGATACGCAACCAATGAGATAATTAAAGGCCAAATCAGAATCAACTGCCTAGTCTTCTGACAAGATAAAGCAGCGCAGTATAGTTCTTTTCCATTTGAAGACAGCATTCTACCTCCTGTTCAAGTTAACAATCTCATCAGTACAAAATATAGTGTGCTAGTCAGACAGTCCCAAAGCAAACCAATTTTTTGGTTGATAATTCAGGTTCATTAGCATTATATCCAGCTTTGTCATTTTTTCAGGGGTAGGGGTAGTTTAGTAAAAAGACCATAATAATGTAGTACTTGTAAAATAAGTATGAAATAGGGTTCAAATTTAGGCTACACAAAGAAACTGCCCCATTCCATAGCTCAGTGCAAATTTACACTGCAGGGAAAAACTATCATCTCTCAAACTTTTAAGATGAGCCAATTTCCCCTACCCCTCACTTTGAGACTACAACATAACTAGCACTTACAACTATTACAATAAAAAGCTGCATGTACGAAGAGCTGTGTAAATGAAAACATGGTTAATGCCTGAGTCGCTGCGCAAACGTGACTTCAGTTCATGCCTACTATCCTTACATCTACCTGAGCTACCTCACAGATAGAACCTTTCAATTTAAACTAATTAATCATGACGCGCTGTGAGCATCTGCCGCTGTCCATCCAATAGTAGTAGACACTTGTGCTGAGGATTCTCCCATCTGTACACAATGGGGAAGAAGATAATAGAAGTCGTTAGTAATCAAAAGTACTGCATAGCCACATTCTTTAAAGGACTGAATGCCAGCTGGACTGGAGAGAACAGGAAAACCAAGGGTACTAATCAGCAACTCCCTGAAATTTCTAGAGAACTGTGACAACAGTCCCCTTTGTGAGCTTTCATAAGGCTATAAGGGGTGCCATAATGGTAAGAACCCCTCAGATATCTGACCTTGAGACTGCAGACCAGGTATCCAGTTTGAGAAAGCTGCCCCCATAATCAGACAGCACAAAGAAAAGCCCTACTAGAGTTAAAAGCAGTGCTGTCTCATCAAGAATCAACAGCAAATGTTTCAAGTGAGGCTTTTTCAAACTCAATAATCCAGATTCTAGTTTAGAACTTAAAGCTTTGAATGGCTGTAAGGGTTAATTGTAGACCCCTGGCCAGAAGCCTGTATGTTGACAGGACATGCATCTACCACAGAAAAGAAGTATTAAAGGGCCAGGGATGTAGCCAACAGTAAAACATATGCCTTCCAAGTATTAAAAGTAAAACCCTCAGCACTACAAAAAAAAAAGGGGGGGGGAGAAGGAAAAAAAAAGAAAAAAGAAAGGCATCTTAGAGTCTGTCTTAAATAAACGGTCAAAATTCTCTGCCTGTTGAGCTACGCATTCTGGAACCCACAGATCTATAGTTTAGATTTAACAGACTCTACTTTCCGATACTTTCTAATATTTGAGTCCGAAAGTATCTATGGGCAGAAAGTGAGGACTCTCACTGCTCCTGCCTCTGAGCAGGGAGTGTGAGGAATGGAAGCTCACAGTGTCTGACTTGCCTTTCTCAACACCAAGACCACAGAACCCATCACAGATTTGTGACTACTATGAAAAGTATGACAGGCCAGTTAGCCTTGCTGCCTGCTGTGTGCTCTCTAAGTCCATCATTCCTTATAGCTGGATTGAAAACCTGGAAATGAAATGAGGTCCCTGGAGAAACTTGGCCATGCTGGTGCTTTTACCAAGTTTGAGAAATTTCCAAAAAAAATCACTTTTCCTAAAAGACACACAGAAGTCCATTTTATGGAGAATCAAGTTTTTAGGGGACTGTAACATTCATCCCCTGCTAAAACCAATCACTTGGTAGAGAGATAAAGAAAAAGCCACATGAACTAATACCAAGTAGCACCAGAATAGCCTACCAACTAAAGCTCGCATGCGCACAGGGCTGGGAGGACAGCTTCCTCTTGCCAGGCCCTTTTAGGTCATTTCAGCAATTTTCTGTTAAACACAGCATTAATGTTATCAAGACACAGCAAGCAGCAGAGAGCTTAACAGAGTCACATTTCACAGTGTCTGTCTCCAAATCAGATCAAAGTGGTATACAAGAGTCCATCCAGGAAGCATTCAGTCAGAGCAAGTTAAAGTCAGTACTTTCTAACACATTTTCAAGATAATTTATGTTGAATTAGCCCAAGGGAGAAAAATCAATGTAGTCAAAATATTTACTGAGAATTGCACCTAAAGTCTGCAACAATGGCTAAACCTTTAAAAGAAATCTAGGCAAAGAATTTAACCAGGATTGGAAATTTGCCAATTCCCTATGTTTTTCTCCCTGTGGGATAATCTGTCTTTTTTTTAAAGAGACAACATATCTTAGGAGAAGAGACTGTTCCTATGCACCTACCTAACCATTGTACAAAAGACTTCACCATAGACATTATACTCTTGATATCCCAAACATAGGAGTACATGTCATAAAGGATCGTCCTGTTGGCACAATTGGAGAGCCGAGTGAACATGCCCATTACGAGTCCACACATCTCTTCAAACTTGGCTGCCCGTGACCTCCATTCTTCAATCTAGTAAAGATCAATAAGTGGGACTTTAAGAAACTGAAAGCTTAACCAAATCATCTAGAACAGATAACATTAGATTAGCTCCCAAACTAAATTGGACTACCAATCCTTTTTCAGAGAAAGAAAAATCACTCCGTATCCCCTGGAAATCTACCTTTTTAAGTGAACAAATGGGAAGCATCCTCCAACTGCACCCCAGGCTACTGCGCCCCCTCCTGGGTTCGAGCACACCCTGGGGGGCAGTATTACCTACTTTGGGAAACACAGTTCTGAGATACACAAGCTGAACTGTTTAAGCTACCATGTACCTTCAATTTATCTACACATTTAAAAAGCACTAAACTTAAACTCTTTAAACCAAGAATTTCTCAACAGGGGTCATACAGCCCTCTGAATTCCAACGGGGCCACAGGAAAAACTCATGAAAATGCAGGACCACTTACTTATGCAACTAGCCACACAAATGAAGTAAAATGTGAAAATAAAGGGCCAAGAAAAAAAAGTTGACAAATGGTTAAGAAACACAACTGTTAAATAAGCACTCAGAAGTCAGTATTTCTTCACCTGGGAAGACAGCTCAAAGGGCTAGCACAGGAGCTCAGCTCCCGATGGTTTCCCAAGCACTGGCCAAGAGTGCTCACCCAACCCCCTGCCCACTAAAAAGGTCTCTCTCTCTCTCCAAAACATTCCTAAACAACAAATTTTCCTACTGCTGTAGGATGTCAAACTATGGAACTGCACATCAGACTCAGCAGACCCCACATCTCTTCGTAGACAGGTGAATTTCGCATGGAGAGAGATAGTACAGCAGGTACAGTGCCTGCAGTCGACCTGGCTTGGATATCTGAGCACAGAGCCAGGAATAAGCCCTAAGCTAAGCACTGCTGGGTATGGCCCCAAAGACAAAAAAAAAAAGTGGATTCTAAGATGTGGTCCATTTTCTATTGGCTTTCACTATACTCATCATTTAAGATTGCCAAATCACCAGAGGGAAGACCCATGCAGGTTAAAGAAATAGCTTAGGCACACTCACCTTTTCAGAGTCTTTTCCTTTGCAATTGACACTGACAACACTGCTATTTGCTCGAAGCCACTGGAACTCCCGTAACATCTGTGCTCCCTTGGGTCCATGCTCATAAGGAAGATAGAACAGATCAGCAAGTAACTGCAAATCCTCCAGAGTCACTGGTTCTGCCGTGTACAAAGGCTTCTCATTAGGACCGGGCACAAACTGTTCCTTATTTGTCTGCTCATCAGTCTGCATTGGTGCAATGTCACTAATACAATCTTCCTGCATAGACATTTCTGGGGACTTTGATTCAGCTATGCTTTCCTTATCAGTATCCATTGGTTTCAATTCCTCTGCCATTTTAGCTTCAACAATTTCAGTTAGTATTTGATTGTCATTCTTGTGATCTGTTTCTTCTTGCTTCTCCACTACCATGTCCATGGGTTCCTCATCTGGCTGTTTCTTTTCTTCTTCCTTCGTGAGAGCTGTCGGTTCACCACTCAAGGCTGCGCCCTGGCTCATAATGGGCTCCTGGTAAACCGTTGTAACCACAGTAGCGGCATTTAAAGATGATGCTGCGACTAAAGGAGTCCCATCAACCACACTTGCTTTAGCTCCACTGTGTGCGACCTGCCTACCTACGAAACAAATCGCCAAAGATAACATTAGAAACAGAACAAATCAGGCAGAGAACAGGTGTTCCTATCTTTAACTGGGAATTCAATTTGGCATTCCAAATAATTTGAACACCGAGAAAAAAGCAATTTCTCTAAATCTTTAGGGAGGAGGGGTAGGATGTATGGAGGGAAGAACAGACGATCATCATCCTTAAGCAAGCCAGCACCTATTATTGTCTCTCTTTTTTTGCCAAATCGAATCACTGTGAATTACAAAGGTACAAAGATATTTATGATTGAGTTTCAAGACTTATCTTCTGTATTGAAGACATATTTAGAAACACTTAAAATAATCATTTAAAAAAAGGTTTTTAAAAACAAATTACTATTCCACCAAGGTAAAACCCATTAAGACTGAAAATAGGAATACAGAAACATCATATTCCCTAGATAAACATTCTTCTACCATTTTACACCAGCAGGCCAGCACGTGTTCTGTACAAGGGTCCACAGATCCAGTAGTATAAATAATCAAGGGGGTAGACCAGTGGTTTTCTCTTTCTATACCTGCAGACCAGCAGTTGAAAACCACTGCTCTAAATCTCTAAATTTCATTTTATTTTATCACCCAGAGGAACAATAGCAAAGCATAATAAAAGCTCTTTATTTTTGTCTCAACCACAGGATCCAAGCCCCATGAGCCAAACTCACTGCTGTACTGATGAGGTACGCCAAATTCCTGCAGCCATTCTGTCAGAGCTAGCTTTAGAGCCATCTGAGGACTATAGAGTACATCAGTTTCAATGTCTTCATCGCTGCCTTCATTTTCTAACTTGATCTGAATTGACACAGTGCTGTCTTCACTATCAGCTGCAAAAAAAAAAAAAAATTACAAAATTTTTCTGATAAAAGGAATAAATGAAAAAGCTTACTTTCTGTAAAACTGGAGAGGTGAAGATTAGTAACAAACTCAGATCAGGGAGAAGGCTCAAAGGGCTGGAGACCACAAGCTCTGTATGTTGGAGGTTCAGGCTCCATTCTCCAATGTGGAGTCCTCAGAGTACTTTTAAATAAAAATCAAAAACAAAACAAAACACACACACACACCATAAAACAAGAACATGAGCTCAGGATGTAGTTCAGAAATAGTTCTTGCCTTGCTTTTGTGAGGCCCTGGATTCAATCCTTGACCACAAAACAAAGAAACAGGCAAATATAAGAAAGACTCTTCACTCACTTCACTTGACAGTCATCTAAATACACTGCTAAACATAAAATCCCAACTGCAGTAACACTAATTTTAGAATCATGGGAAAGTTTTAATCATTAAGTATTCACTGAATAAAAATTGTTGAGAATGAGAGAGTAAAGACATTAATTATGCTTTCCTTAAAAAGGTTTTATTTATTTATTTTTTGGTTTGTGGGTCACACCTGTCAATGGTCAGGGGGTTACTCCGGGCTCTGCACTCAGGAATTACTCCTGAACCTGAAGTGCTTGGGGACCATATGGATGCCAGGGAGCAAAACCCAGTTGGCGGCATGAAAAGGCAACTGTTCCACCAGTTGTACTATCGCTCTGGCCAAGAGAAAAGATTGTTGTTGTTTTTTAAAAAAAAAGGTTTTTGGGCCAGAGCGATAGCACAGTGGGTAGGGCGTTTGCCTTGCATGCGCCGACCTGAGTTCGATCGCCGGCATCCCATATGATCCCCCGAGAACCGCCAGGAGTAATTCTCTGGAACCCCATATGGCCCCCCAAGTCCACTGGTAGTGATCCCTGTGTTCAGAGCCCTGAACATCACCAGGTGTGGCCTAAATACTGTTGGGGGGAGGGGGGGTAAAAAAAAAAGTACATACTTGTGGGCCATAGACAGTGCAGGGAGGGCGCTTGCCTTGCAGGCAGATGACCCAAGTTCCATCTCTGGAACCACATATGGTCTCCCGAGCCCAGACAAGTGATTCCTGAGTGCAAAGTCAGGAGTAAGCCCTGAGCACAGCAGGTGTGGCCCAAAAAGGAAACAGAAAGTACAAACCTACCAATGGCTCTAGTTACCCACCCCATTCAGGTCAATAATTAAGAGGGTTACTTACTCATCACTACATCTTTTCTTACTCCGTTCATGTTTGATTTATACCAAGTGGCAAGGGTATGGATAGCGACATAGTTAGCTTCAAATTCACAATTTGGATTAGTGAGAACTCCTTTTAACCGTGGAATGAGTTCTGTAGAACGTCCCTTGTATGGACCCAGAAAGAGTCTCTTCTGATCGTAATCATTAGCATGAATGTTATCCCAGATTACTGGAGCTCTCTTAATAATCTTTGAAACCTCTTCAATAGACTCAACTGGAATTTCTTTAGAAACAACTTTGGGACCTAGAAAAACATCACCATTTGTTAAAAGATCCTCACATGTGGTTCTCCAAAACAATGAATCAATTTTTATTATATCCTGTTATATGGATACACTATACAATAAAAAAAAATAGCAGAGCAACATGTCTTTTTGTTCAATTTTATCATCCCGCACCAATTTTCGGACACCTCAAGTTGAGATTTCTAGGAATGGAACTAGTTGGCCAATGAAAATGCAAAACTTCTGCAACAATCTTGAAATTGCTATTAGTAAAGAACTGATATGTAGGGGGCTGGAGAGATAGCACAGCGGGTAGGGCGTTTGCTTTGCACGCAGCCAACCCGGGTTCGATTCCCAGCATCCCATATTGTCCCCTGAGCACCGCCAGGAGTAACTCCTGAGTGCAGAGCCAGGAGTAACCCCTGTGCATCGCCAGGTGTGACCCAAAAAGCAAAAAAATAAAATAAAATAAAAAGCAAAGTAAGTTTAAAAAAAAAAAAGAAAAAGAAAAAACAGATATGTAAATAATTTCTTTATCCATTAAAATTCAACATATCCTAATTAGACAAATCCCAATTAGTTAAACACAAGATTTCTGTCCTTAAACTAAAAGCTAATGTTACTAACCAGCAATCTAACACAACAGTTTTCACTTTGTGTGTGTGTGTGTGTGTGTGTGTGTATCCCTAAGGGTCAGGAGGAACAAAACTCTTCAGCCAATTTTCTGAATGCATCTATCAGTTAACTGGTACTTATAATTACTGCAAAATTCTCAAGTACGTATTTACACTGAGAAGAATGCATACTTTATAAAAGAAATAATCTTAACCAAATTGTCTAGTTAAGGTTCAATTTTTAAACATACCAAAATAATCAATTTCTTTAGGAAAAAAATTGAACAAAAAAAATTATTTTTGATAAAGGTTTACTGTATAAACCTCTAAAGAAAGACTTACCTGTCCAAAGCACCTCAATCCCAGGTAGAAGTTTTTCACCCACAGTCCTTAGATAAGGCGACTGGGACACATTTGGGTAACAGAAAGTGCCACAATATTCTGAATGTAGGGGAAAATTAAATAAAACATGTGAAACTATCATGAATTTTTAAATAGGGAAAAAAAAATTAACAATTTTAAATTCTATTTTCTTTCTCTTCACTTTGGGACCACACCCAGCAGTACTCAGTACTCTTTGATCTGTGCTCATGGATTTCTACAGCCCCTCAATTCTAAATTCTTTTCATACAATGATAATAGTACCTCGTAACTCCCCAAAGTAGGGAGAGGGACAATAAAAAACCTCTCAAGTGGATAGAGTTAATTTAAGAATGAAGGGCCTTGCACACTCCCGTCCCCCTTAAGCACAGCAACAGAAATAGCTCCTGAGTAATGTGGGCATAGTCCAAAAATAAACACACAAAAGGAACAAATTCAAGTGGAACAGGACAAAAACCCAGGTTGGCAGCGTGCAAGGTAAATGCCTTCCCTACCTACTGTATTATCACACAGGGCGCCTAAAGGAGACTAAAGTATTTTCAATAAGACCCAGGAGGGAAGAGATGAAGATTAAGTTAAATTATTAAGTTTTCTTTGCTGACTACGGGAAATGAGACTACAGATGGAAGTAGGAGGAGTGAAAAAAGATAGATATATATGGGCAGAAAAAAGAAACAAGTAGGAGGAAATGAAAAGTGACTAAGTTAGAAGTAATGTAATTTTTTTCTAGTTTTTATTTGATCTTACCATGCCTTCTACATCAATCCTGAAAATATCTGGCTTTAGGGCCACACCCAGCAGTACACTAGAGTTGCTCACTGCTCAGTGGTGGCTACCGGTGCAACAGTCCCTGGTGCTAAGGCTCAAACCAAGGGTTCCCACATGCAAAGCATTGCTCTGAGCAATCTCCCCAGTCCCACTTACTTGTAACACAAACACATAAAATCTTTTGCATATTCATTTATGAGCCTCAAACTTCTCCAGGGGATGGCTCAAAGGGCTGAGCATACACTTCATATGTGGGAGGTACAAGTTCAATCTCGAGCACCTCATGGTCCCCTGAGGTTCATGGCAATGACCTCTGAGCATCACCAGGTATGGTCCAAACAACCCCCAAAACAAAAACATATCCAACTTAAGATCTTGATAAAGGCCAGAGAGGTAGTACAATGGGTAGGGCATTTGGCTTGCACGCAGCCCACCTGGGTTCAACCAGCATCCTATGTGGTCCCCTGAGCACTGCCAGGAGTGATTCCTGAGTGCATAGCCAGAAGTAACCCCTGAGCATCACCGGTGCGACCCCCCCAAAAAAAAGCAAAAAGCAAAAATCTTGATAAGCACCTTCTAGAAAAATAACCGCTTTTATAAACCAAGGGGAAGAGGGAAGGGCAAAGAGGCAGGAGACCAATAGCTCCTGGATGAAGTCTCTGAAAGTTGTTACTGCAAGACTTCGAGTTAAATATAAAACAATCATACAATACCTGTGGGACAGAAGAGGAAAGTTTCTGGCTCTCCTAGGTATTGATAGATTTCATTTGTGATGGAGACCTGGGCATGAGCAAAAGAACTGAATACCTCTTTGTCTGCTGCACACATATTATGGTCAATATCATCAAAAAGCAAAGCAAATGACCTGCATCCAAACTGAGAAACCTAGACCAAAAAAAAAAAAAGATGTTTTATTAGTTCCTCTTAAAAGGGGTGGGGGGAATCCAGAAATTAAAATATATACTTAAAATTCATTTCTGAATAGAATGCTGAAAACCAAATCTATTCTGTAACTTCTAAATTGAGCACTAGACAGTTTGGCGACTCATTTTCCTCTTGGATTTCAATGCGGTATGTCAGTATGGTCCAACATACATGGCCAATCCTGCCTCTCCTGGCTGCTGTTTACAGAGGCCAGTCAGAAAACTTCAGAAACATAGTTTCAAGAAATAAAATTCCAAGGTCTGTTCTGATAAGAAACAGTGATCTGAATTAATCTCATTGCACATGCGATAGCACAGTGGGTAGGGTGTTTGCCTTGCACACGGCCGACATGGCTGACCCGAGTTCAATCCCTCCGCTCCTCTCGGAAAGCCCGGCAAGCTATCGAGAGTATCTCGCCCGCACGGGCAAAGCCTGGCAAGCTCCCAGTGATGTATTCAATATGCCAAAGACAGTAACAATGTTACTGGGCCCATTCCAGGCAAATCAATGAACAACAGGAGGACAGTGACAGTGAATCTAATGGGGCCATGAAACAAAGCAGAATTTTACCAAGCAGGAAAATAACCACTTAAGCACAACTTAAGGAAATGTTTAAGAAAATGTACCTTAAAATTTTTACCAGGTATTTCAATATCCACAATATAAAATTTTTGCCTAAACAAAGACACACATTCTTAAGATACATAAATCATTAAAAACCAATTCACTTACTTTACCAGAAAAAGCGCAGCTTTTAAGTAGAACTGACTCCAATCCAACTGATTTTTAGACTTTATATTTAGAATCCAGGTCATATTGGCTCATGTTTACCTGTTGTGTTTTTTTTTTCTCATCTTGGGAAATGAGTAAATCATTTTCAGACTGAATTGTCTTCTCCGTATAACTAAGGAAACTGATGTCTTTTTCTTTTTTTTTCTTTTGGGGTCACACCGGCAATGCTCAGGGATTACTCCTAGCTCTGCACTCAGGAATTATTCCTGGCGGTGCTTGGGGTACCATATAGGATGCCAGGTATTGAACTCTGGTAAATCGCATGCAAGGCAAATGCTCTACCTGCTGTGCTATCGCTTGGGCCCTGGGAACTGATTTCTAGCAGGCAAAAATCTTTTATCTCTATAACCTGAAATTCAGTCAAATGTCCAACAGTGTGATGTGCATAGCTTTTCAAAATGCAATTCTGATTCTGGATCATGTATTTTCGAATCACCTACATTCCTAGCCCCAATCCAAGTCTGTAAGAATCTCTAGGATAGAGCCTATTCATCAGCATTCCTTTAAGTGTACCATCTGCAAGCATTCTTACGCAAACTGAAATCTGTGAATATGATAATGGAGGAAAACTGTTCCAACTTACTTTTGAATGTTCCTCTATCAAAAGCAAATTTTTTTAAAAAAATGACTCAGAAACAAAAGTATATCTTTTAAAAAAAAATCTAAAAGCAACTAAAAATTCTAGTTCCAAGTACCAATTTAGGAAGAAATAATTAAAAAGGAAGTTACCTGGTCCAGTTTGCGTTTCAATGTGGATACTTCTTTGGGGTTAGAAAAGGTAATATCCAATCCAGGTGAAATAGCATAGATGAACTCTATCTCATATTCCCGTGCAGCAGAGATGAGAGTCATGAGTTGCTCTAAAGAACAGAGTCCAGGTTTTTAGAAAGCAGGACAGAAAGCTCAAACAACTCTCAACTTTTGTCTTAAGAAGTAAATTTCTCCAACATATGATGTGTTCAATCCCAGCATACCATACGGCCCCAAGCACTGCTACAAGTAATCCCTGAATGCAGGATTAAGCCATGAGCACCACAAGGTATGGTCCCAAAACAACAACTAAAAAAGAATCCTGACCCCTCATCTTTCTAACTATAGGAAATAGAATCATTATACAGTCATGTTTTTAAATGTAGCGGACAACTTTCCTAAATTAGATACTATTTCATACCAAAGAATGTATCATTAAATAACAGTAATGATACTGTTATTTATCATTACATAATAACAAATGAGGCTATAATTTGGCTATAATTTGACTATTGATTACATTATATTTTATTACCAGCACCACCAAAAAATAATTAAACTGAAGACGTACTTAAATTATATAAAGCAATTAACACTAAATGGAGAGAAGTTTTAACGGCTTCTTCATAATTCAAGAAGACTTTCTGTGTACATTTATTTTGAAGTATAAAAGAATTTCTCCCTTCACTTAAGTGGCAAAAGAATATCTTACCTACAATGAGGTACTACCTTATTTATGATTTAATTTTAATGCTATTTTGTGTGTGATGCCTGTGACCAAACCTAGTTCTCACGTGAGAAAGGCAGGCACCAAAAGTAGAGAGAGCATACGGGGGAAACTGTCTGCCATAGAGGCAGGGGGAGAGTTGGAAAGAAGGGAATACTGAGGTCATTGGTGGCGGAGGATGTGCACTGGTGGAGGGGTCGGTATTTGATCATTTGACTGAAACTCAAACATGAAATTTTTGTAACCGAATTTCACGGCAATTCAGTAATAGAATAGAATAGAAAAGAAAAGAAAAGAAAAGAAAAGAAAAGAAAAGAAAAGAGGCAGGCAGGTATTTGACCACATCCCCAACCTTATTTCTAAATTTTATGAAACTGATTTAACTTTAGAGTACACGTGGAAAAGAGTTTGTTCAACTAAAGATGGAATCAGATTGGTGTATAGATGAATCACACCATAACTGTATTCTTTTTGGGTCACTCCCGGCAATGCACAGGGGTCACTCCTGGCTCTGCACTCAGGAATTACTCCTGGCGGTGCTCAGGGGACCATATGGGATGCTGGGAATCGAACCTGGCCACGTGCAAGGCAAATGCCCTACCCACTGTGCTATTGCTCCAGCCCCGTAACTGTGTATACTTAACAGTTATGATTTCAATCTGCTTTAACTCAGAGTCACCACACAGAAGAGAAACTACTACAAAAAGAAAATACTTAATTAAAATTCTTAAGCAAACACACTGAAAACAGTTTTATGTATCCAACATTTATGTATTAGGAAAAGAAAGATTACCAGCTTCTTCCACTGAATACATCTCTCGCCAAAACATCCTATGTTTGTAGTCATCTTTCGGGGCATACAAGTATGTATTTAATTCCCATTTCTGGAGCCTTAAGAAGAAAGAAAGTTACACACACATAGATATACACAGGCATGATTTTTATTTTTTGAAGCAAAATAGTTTTATTGAGGGAGGACAGCAATTCTAAAGAGAATAGAGAGGGGAAGGACAGAGGAGAGACCAAAGGTCCAAAGCAAAGGAAATTCATGCCCTAAACAAGTACATGGGCAAATCCAAGGTGAGTGCTATAAAGGAGAGATTAGGCACCCAGAGTTAGAATGCAAGTGACCCCACAGTAGTCTGCTAATTTTTCCCTCTAGTGATGGGAACTACACCCAGGTCATACACAGACAAGGCAATGCTCTGCCACTAAGCTACATTGCTGGCCTCATGTATAGCTTGAAATCTTCCATCTCCACATCTCTTACAGAGCGAATACCATTGGGAAGTAACTTTTCGTATTATTTTAGTGTGCCCTGCCTTGCACACAGCCAATCCCAGTTCAATTTCAGGTACCACAGCACTGCCAGCGGTCATTCTTGGTCACAGAGTCAGCAATAGCCCTTGAGACCATCAGATGTGCAAACCAAAACCTTCCGAATTGAATAATATGAAGAATGTCCAAGATATGAGAAATAGTCTAAGGAGAAACACAAGAGCCCACAGAAGGTAAGTGAATCCAAAAATTAACTCCACCAATGTAGGTAAAAGAGAGGTAAGATATTGGAACAGTAATTTCTCCAACTCAGAACTATCAAACTGTATCTGGCCTTTTCGGAATTAGTATGTTTTTAAACAAAAGGAAATGTTAAAGAGTTTACACTTCCCTACCCCGACCCCCAACACACAATGAAAACTTACCTTCTAAAGAGTTCTTTTCTCTGTTCCATAACCCAAGGTCTTCCATAAAATCCTAAATTCAAAATAAGAATTAAATTAATTTCAAGCTTCAAAATGTAGCAGGTGCTCCTAATCAAGAAAAGCAGATTAGAGGCTAGAGATAGCATAGCAGGTAGGGTGACTGCCCTGCATACGGCTGACTGCAAACCAGGGTTTAATGCCCAGCAGCCCACATGGTCCCTAGAGCACTGAGGAAGTAACTCCTGAGTAGCAGGCTCTGAGCACAGCAGGGTATGGCCCCTAAAAGCAAAAACCAAAAAAAAAAAAAAAAAAAAACCCAAAACCCAAAAAAAACCCAGAAGATTATAGGACTTGTATTACACAAGGCATAAGCCCTTTGAAAGCAGGTTAATTCTCGGGGCCAGAGAAATAGTACAGGGGGTAAGGTGCTTGCCTTGCACACAGCCAACCCGGATTCCATCTCTGATATCCCAGATGGCCCTCCGCCCCCAGCATTGCCAGACCTGATTCCTGAGCTCAAAGCCAAGAGAAACTCCTGGGCATCTCCAAGTACGGCTACAGAATAAAAGCTGTCAAATTATCTTCCTAGGTAGTAATTGTTATTATTAACAATTAAATTACTTTGCTTCTTTTATCACAGTAAGATTCAGAACTCTCTTACTTTTCAGTGTAGGCGGACTGGTTTGGGGCCACATCCAGCAGTGCACAGGAGCTATTCCTGACTGTGCTTCGGAGTCAGCCCATCACAGTGCTTGGGGGACCGTTCATTAAGTGCCAGAGATTTGAATCAGGTTTCAGGCCAAAGTGGCCACATGCAAGGCAAGCACCTTACCTCCTGTACTCTCTCTCTCTGGTCCCTACGTTCTAAAAATTTAAGATTTAATTGGGCTGAAGAGACCCAATTAAGGTAAGGTGCTTGCTATCTACACAGCAGACTCAGGTTCAAATCCCTGGCATATATATTCCTCCCCAGCACCACTAAGAGACCCCTGAGCACGGAGAGAGGAATAGCACCTGAGCACCAGTGGATCTGGCCAAAGAGGAAAAATGCCCAAGAAAAAAAAGAGGTTACAAAACATAAAACCCTATTTTATAAAAAATATAACATAAAAACTATAAATAGGACTATGAAGTTAACTACATAGTTATATATAGATAATATAGTAGGTAGGGCACTTGCCTTGCATGCACCTGACCCAGGTTTGATCCCCAGCATCCCATATTTCTCCAAACACTGCCAGGAGTAAATTCTAGAATGCAGAGCCAGGAGTAACCCCTAAGCTTCCCGGGGTGTGACCCAAAAACTTTACATCAATAAATAAATGTTCACGCATTGTGTACACTGCATCAACATCTGAAGGATATTTAGTAAAACACCAAAGTATCTGAGTGGTGATGTTTATAAAGTGATTTTTATTTCCTCTTTCTCAGTAAATTTCTACCATAAGCAGATTATTTGTGCTGTAAAATTATGGCAGGGCCAAAAAGTCAGGCACAGGCTGAGTGCAGGCTGTGCATCTGGAAGGCCTGAGCGCTGCCGAGGCTGATTATAGCCAGCAATAAACATTCACAATAAAAATAAACAACCCCCTCCCCTCAGTAAACATACACAGTGAAACCACGGTCCCCTTTCCTCATACCAATAATAACCAATCATCTCCCAATCTAATTTTCGGTTTTTAGGTCACAAGTGGCAATGCTCAGGGGACCAGATGGGATGTGGAGGATTGAACCTGAGTTGGCCACATGCAAGACAAACACTCTACCCACTACACCGTACCACTCGGACCCTGAATCTATCTTTTTAGAAGACCAGAGGCAGCAAAAAGTACAAGAAAGAAGGGGCTTGCCTTGCATGTGGTCATTTCGGCTGTGAATCCGACTAGAATCTCTGGTATATAAGTATGGTCCTCCAAGCACTGCCAACAGGCCACCTGACCCTATGCATCAAGGGTGTGACCCCACCCCAAAACATTTAAAAATAGAGAGGAGTACCTAAATCTTAGTATGAAAGAACAAAGTAATCAAAACAAAAGATTCTGAGTTACAAACCTTAAGGGCTGGTCTATGTAAAACTGGCCTGGGGAGCTAACACACTCACCAGGACTCCACAAGGACTTTACTGCTCTTGTGCCCCTCCACCACAGCCAACCCCCAACCTTACCATCTGTGAAAGGGAAAGGACAACCTCTCAAAAGTGAAATGAAGGCCATTTTGAATACAAAATACTCTGATCTTACTATTCAGAGTCTACCTAAGAATAAAGAGCTGTAATTTCTTAATAAATATTTTTAAGCTATAGTCCCTAGACAGGATGATTACTTCACACTATAAAGGCAGTGAGACCAATGAAAAAGTATGCCAAGTCTTTATAGCTTTCCTACAAACACTTAAAATTCTTTTCCTCATAAAAACTAGGTATTAGATATCCCTTTGGTTGCTTCAATAAAGACTATATTCAACTTTAACATTTTAATCTTCAGAAACCCTAACTTTACTCTTTTTAGAGTAAATTTCAATGGTTTTGGCTGTTGCTTCTTAGGAGTTAAAAACCAACAAAGGGCGGGGCCCTAGCAATAGGGCAGCGGTAGCTTACGTGGCTGACCTGGTTTGATCCCCCAGTATCCCATATGGTCCCCCTGAGCACTGCCAGGCATAACCCCTGAGCATCGCCAGGTGGGGCCCCCGCCAAAACCAAACAACAAAACAACAACAATGGGGTGGGGGTGGAGCTATAGTACAGTGGGTAAGGCATTTGCCTTGCACAAGGCTGACCAGGGTTCAATCCCAATAACCCATCTGGTCACCCAACCCTGGACCCAGGTGTGATCCCTGAGGAATGCCAGGTGCCAGGCCCAGAAACACACACTAGAACAAAAACTAACAAAGGCTCATGCAAAAGAAAAAAAGAAAAAGAAAAAGGACTCCTGCCAATACTTTATTTCCTATCATTCATTTTAGGAACGGTGCCAAATAAGAAGTTCCCCCCTGCCCTGGGCCTTCTCCCCCAGTAAAAATCAGGGGCCAGAGAGATGGCTCAATAGGCCTGAACACAATCTTCATGTGTGACACAGCAGTTCGATCCCTGGCATTGTCCCCTAGCTCCACTGGGATACGGCACCCTCAACAATCTATCCAGGCATACCCCACCTCAACAAAATCAGGTGCTCAATCATCAAGAAAATATACAAGGGGGTTGGAGATAGTACAGCAGGTAGAGTGCTTGCCTTGCACACGGTCTACCAGGATTCAATCTTTGGAATCCCATATGGATCCCCCCCAAGCACGACCAGAAGTGATTCATGAGTGCAGAGCCAGGACTAACCCCCAAGCATGACCAGATGTGATCAAAAACCGGAAAAAGAAAGAAAATATTCAGGAAGGAATCAGAGCTATGACGGGTTTATGGCGCTTGTCTTGCATGTGGCTGACCCCTGTTCCATCCCAGGCACTGCATATGGTCCTCCAACCATCACTAGGAGTGATCTCTGAATACAGAACCAGGATAACCCTTGGGTACTGCTGGGTGTGGTCCAAAAAGAAAAATAAAAGAAAGTGAAAAGCAACTCCATTCCCTACCGTAAGAATAATTCCTTTTTGGGGCTGGAGCAATAGCACAGCGGGTAGGGCGTTTGCCTTGCACGCGGGCGACCGGGTTCAATTTCCAGCATCCCATATGGTCCCCTGAGCACCGCCAGGGGTAATTCCTGAGCGCAGAGCCAGGAGTAAGCCCTGTGCATTGCTGGGTGTGACCCAAAAAAGCAAAAAAAAAAAAAAAAAAAAAAAAAATCCTTTTTAACTCTATTGAAAAACAAGCCAATTAATCTAACTAAAACAAACTTGCTTCTCACCAAAGTTATGAGGCAAGTTTCCTTAGAGTCTCTCTATTCTAGCTCTAGTCCCCAGCATTCCTTCCCTTCCCTCCACATCAAGGTCTCTGATCACAAAATATATAATTCTTTGTCTAAATGTTCCTGCCAAACACGCACAATAAATACATCAAAGAATAGGAACTGTTGTGATACTACAGTAGGTAGGGTGTTGGTCTTGCACGGGGGTTCACACGGGGGTTCCCAGCATCTAATATGGTTCCCCCCTCCCCCAATCACCAGGAGTTGACTCCTGAGTGCAGAGCCAGGACCAAGCCCTGATCCCCCCCCAAAAGGACTAACAACCAAAACTATTACGTTAGCAAACACATTTCATAACACACTGACTACAGTCAAATAGAGTACAATTTTTACTGTCTCCCCAGAAACTCTGCAAAACTGTTAACTGTGCAGTAGAGCTGTTTCACTCCTAATTCCAGAAAACTGCAAAGTAGTCTTCCCCACAATTAAATTTTATTCCAAATAAAACCACAATCACCACCCATCATTAGATGGGATCCCATACACCAATATCCCTGGGAAAGCGGAAGCCCTCAGACAAGACGACAATCCTTTTTCCATACGTTTTCCTTTTGATACGAAGGCTAATCCTCACACAGCATTACATCTGAACAGACCATTTACAGGAGAAAACTAAAGACAGCCTGGAAATCCCAGGTGGCCCAAACAGCAGACAATTCAAACGTATACAGTTATTTCAGGAAATACTACAACAGAACTGGCCTTCCATAGGCCCGGTACCCGCCCATCACATTCACAAACTGTGACAGGATCCAGGAGTTCCCCCAATCAAAAAAAAAAAAAAAGTCTGCCATTCCTTTGAAACGGAAATGGAAAGGGAGGAGCTGAGAGCATTTAAGGCCTCTTCTGCAGTGACTACTCAAACCGCGTACCTCCAACACTTTTGAGACTATCTACTGAAGTGAAAGGACCATCCTCCAGGTGCAAAGCACAGCAGTCGGCAAAGGTCCATTTTCAATTGGGCAGCAAATGAATCGTCAAAGGCGCGTGGTGGGGACTGGCCAGCAAGAGCCAAAAAAAAGGGGAAATCTCGGCAAAGACCAACTTGCAAAAATGTCCCAATGTGCTTCTGTTCCTTCCCGAAGCCCAAGCGCGTCCGAGTGGGCAGTTTTCCCCATCGAGGGCGGGGTGTCTCAGCCGCATCCCATTTCCCCCCGCCGTTGGACGCTCCTGGGGGGGGTGGGGTGGCATCCGCCAGTCCCGAGCGGTCAGCCGGGGCGTGGAATCCCGGCCCCGCACCTCCGCCTGCGCTGGAGAATGCGGGCTCGGGGCCAAAGGCGGGCGGGGTCCAGGGGGGTGATGGGGAGCGGGGGGTGGAACCCGACGCTGCCAATGACCCAGCGGGCAGGAGCGCCCCGTCTCCTAGCAGGGTCCGATTTCAGAGTCCAGACAGAAGCCCTCTCCACCCCCCGCCTCGGAAAGCCCCGAAGGGAGCCCACGAGGAGAGGATGGGTTCGAACCTGGGCGGCGCCCCCGCCCGCGCCCCCGCGCTCACCTTCCACCACGCCGCACAGGAACCTCCGGGCGCCCCCGGCCGCCCCGGCCACCACTGCTCCCCCGGCCCCGCCGGGACTGTCTTCGCCGGGGGCCGCGGCTGCCGGCGGCTCCAACGAGGCCCCCGCGGAGGCGGCGGCGCTGGCGCCGAGCTCGCTCTCCCGCTCCTCCAGCGCCGCCTGGCTCTCCTTCTGCACCATCCTCCTCCTGCCCACGGCCGCCGCCACCTCTGCGGGTCCTCGTCGGCCTCCGTCCGTTGGGCCGCCGGCCCGGAGCCCGGGAGAGGGGGGCTCGGCTGCTCGCGCGCGCGCCCCGCGGGCTGCTTCCCCTCCCCCTCCGCCCTGCCCCCGCCCTCTCCGCGGGGACCCGGATGCCCGGATGCGAAGGGCGGCGGCACCGGCGCGAGCCCTTTGTCAGCCGCTGCCACCGCCCGAGCCGGGCAGCTGGGAGAGGAGCGAGGCCCTCGGAGAGCGAGGCGGCGACCTCTCGTCCCGGGGAGGCGGAGGGCCGCAGCGCCGTCCCTCCGTCTCAGCGAGTGGCTGTCGCCGTCCCCGGAACCCCGGTCCTTCCCCGGCTTTCCCCCGACTCCGAAACCCCCTAGGTCGCCGCTGCCGCTGCCGCTACCGCCCGCTTCCTGTTTATCCGCACTGCGCCTGCGCCGCAGACCGGCTCAGACCGGTCCCTCGGCCCGGCTCCCCCGCCTCCTTGGGGACCGGCCCATCGCGCCGCGTTCGGGAGGGGGGAGCCGGGCGGAGAGGCCGCTAGAAGAGGCCGGCGGCGCAGGCAGAGGACGGTACCATGCGCGCTCTCCTCCCTCCAGGCGGAGCCGGGCGGCCCGGAATGGACCATTCCTGCACCCGCAGGAGGGGAGTCTGGGAGGAGGCTGCGGCTCGTCCGGGAAAAGGGGCGGCGGGGCGGGGGGCGGGGGAGGGGAAAAGAGCGGTGTTTACTCTCCCAGTGCGCAGACGCGGAAACGCGGCCGCTCGCTCTTAAAGGGACACGAAGGACGTGACCTACTTTCGGGTGAGGCCCCGGTGTATTAGGTGGGTCCGTGACACCTGCCCGTCCCCGGCTCGATTGTGTAAAGACACGACTCCCAGGGCGGCTTCAGCTCACCCCTCAACCCTAGAATCATGTTTGATCTGCCCTGGGCTTGGCGCCGACCCCTTTTGGAAAATGCAGTTGTTGGTCCATCCCTATGGAGCTGGCCTCGTGCTGGGCTCCTGGGCCTCTATGAGCTCACAGTGTGCTGGGGGGCGGGGGAGAAGGTTCAGCCCCCCGCGGTGACCTGGTTGCGGGAGCTCGGAGAAACGGAATTGTGAAGGCTGAGTAGGAGGAGGCGCTGCTGGCAAGTGGACCAGAATCCACAGGGAACAAGAGATGACCGGGCTGGACTGAGAAAATGGGGAGCTTGGCATGCGTGTAAGGGAACAAGCTGACCTTGGCGCCTCCGCCGGAACCTGCTGGGGTGGGAAAGCGCCCCACCGCCACCACCAAACCCCCCAGCCCCCTAAGAGTGGAGTCCTGTCATCATGGATTTATATCTCAAGTTTGGGAGGAGCATACCTGCAGGTGTTCAGGGTTTACTCCTGGCTCGGTGCTCACGAGTGACTCCTGGAGGTGCTGGGGGATTCTAACGAAAGTGGTGCCTGGGATTCAAACCTGGGTGAATCCTGACAAGCTCCCTATTCTTTGGTCCGTCTTAGGGCCTGCGTTAATGTTAAAAAATATTTGTCAAAAAAGATTGGGGGGAGGGGGCTGGAGCAATAGCACAGCGGGGTAGGGCGTTTGCCATGCATGTGGCCGACGGGGGAGGGGGGGTTCGATCCCCAGCATCCCATATGGTCCCCTGAGCACCGCCAGGGGTGATTCCTGAGTGCAGAGCAAGGAGTAACCCCTGTGCATCGCCGGATGTGAACCCCCCCAAAAAAAGAAGATTTGTGTGGCTGGAGCAAGAAATAGCACAGCGGGTAGGGCTTTTGCCTTGCTCACCTGCCAACCCGGGTTTGGTTCCCAGCATCCCATATGGTTCCCTGAGCACCCGTCAAGAGTAATTTCTGAGTGCAGAGCCAGGAGTAACCCCTGTGCATTGCCTGGTGTGACCCCAACAAATAAGTAAGTAAAAAGATTTCTCACTTATGAGGTCTAAATGTGAAATGAGCATTTCAGTCTCTGATTTTTGTTTAGTTTTTTATGGGGGGGGTTGTCACACGAAAAGGGGCAAATAAGGACCTGCTCCCTGTTCTGCATTCAGCATCACTCATGCCTTGATCTAGGGGACCTAGCAGTGAATCATCCCTGGCCTTTCCATGCAAAACATGAAACATGCATCTGAATTGAACTCTCTCTCCAGTCCACATTCTGGTTATTAAAACTTAGAATTGGAGGCGGGTGAGATGGGTAGGGCCCTTGCCTGGCACTCAGCAGACCAGAGTTCTATCCCCCTGCACCATATTTGGTCCTCCAAGCCCTGCTGAGAGTGATCTGAGCCAAGGAGTAAGCCCTGAGCACCACTGAGTGTGCCCCAAAACAAACCATAAAAACAAATTAGAATTGTCCACCTTAACACTTCAATCTCATAGCTGACTCCTTCAGCCATAGTCCAGATTATAATTCCAAGGACTCCTAAATTCCTCATTTTCAGTCTTGGAGAGCTGAAATGTGAGTTTGAGACAAGCATTTTGGGGTATTTTTCTTTGTTGTTTTGGGGCCACATTCACAGTTATTTGGGTTCCTCTAGCTCCGTGTTCAGCAGTTGCTTTTAAAGGTACTCAGGGAACCATGCAGTGGCAGGATCAAACCCTTCTACCTGCAAAGCATGTACCCTTTGAGCTATCTCTAGACCTAAAGCATGTGAAGTGCTTAGGCCCAAACCCACATTTGAGCACTTGCAAGGCAAGTGCTTTCTCCAAGTCCCTGAGACAAGCGTTTTCTTAGGGTATCTCCTGTGATAGCAGTTGGGAGCCCTAAGAGCTTCCCTGGTTAATGTGGTGCTTGAAAAGTTGGGGACTGATCCAAATAAGTCTCCTGACACTGTCCACTGTCTGCACATTTCACCTTGTGGCAGCTGCTGACAAGTCAGCAGTCACAATTAAACCTACTGGCCACAGCCCAGATTCTGGGGTCTATGGGCCAGGCCAGCTGCACCTTCCCTATCTGTGCTTCTCAAACTTAAAAGGCAGTGGGTCAAAGAGCGAGTACAGCAAGCAAGGTGTTTATCTTGCACTCAGTTGATCCAGGTTCGATTCCCAACATCCCATATGAATCTTCCAAGCCTGCCAGGAGTGATTTCTGTAAGCAGAGCCAGGAGTAACCCCTGAGCACCTCCAGATGTGGCCCAAAAATAAAAAAATAAAAACACCTTAAAAGGCATTTGACACCCATTTTCTCCAAAACATCTCTCTCTCTTTCTCTTTCTCTCTCTAACTCTCTCTCACACACACCCTCTCACACTAGCATCTACATCGGGACACAGAGCTCAGGAGGACTATGCTAAGTATGGAAGGAATGAGATCAGGCCCTGCCCCCAATGTACATTCTAGCCAGGGAAACAGACACTAACAATTCAGTGCATACACAGAAACGGCTTGCGGTTAGTGCAATGAAGGCAGGAAATGAGTAGCTGAGATGAACAGTAACCACAGCAAAGAGGAGCTGCTTCAGATGGAAGAAGTAGTAATCTAGGTAGCAATGAGAGTGGAACAGACTGGGGAACAGCACAAAGAGGAGGAACGCCTGGCCATTGAACTGGGTGCTTATTTTAAGGTGAGGAGAGGTAGATGAAATAAAAGCACCCTAATTTTGAGTGAGCAACAAGGTAATGATACCATTTACTGAGATGAGAAAGTGTGGATCGAAGCTCCATCTTGAACATGTTAAGTTTGACCCTTGAAGGTCTACATAATTATGTCCAGTAGGCAACTGGGCATATAAGTCTTGAAACTCAGACAATTCTGAGGATATAAAATGTGTATGGAACCCTGGTTCAATCCCTGGCACATCATGGCCCACTAAGTACAGTCAGAAGACCACATCCTCAGGTGTGGCCCCAAATTTTACAGGATTATAAAATGATGGTGAATCACTAACATTTGTTTGAAAAATAAGTGAATATGAATTTAATTTAAGGGTCTTTTGAATACAGATCATGGGTTTGGCTGTGACGGGGGAAAGAGCTCAGGTCTGAGCTTGTGGGGTCCAGCATTTAGAATTACCACAGGTTACCAGGGGTGTGGCTTGCCTTGCTTGTGTGAGCCCTGGTTTCCTCTCTAGCACTGGGTGTGGGGGTGTGGGGGAAGAATTCCTAAAAAGAATCTGAGTCCTGTAAAGGAGAGCTAAGGAGGTATGACCACGAAGGTAGAAGGAATGCAGGAAATTGCAAAATATTGGAAGGTCAGAGAGTAGTATGGTTTCGTTTGGTTTTGGAGGGATTCTTTTTTGCTTTTTCAGTCATACCCATCGGGACTCAGGAGTTAACTTCTGGCTCTCCACTTAGGAATCACTCCTGGCAGTGCTCGGGGACCATATGGGATGCTGGGGATCGAACCTGGGTCAGCCTCATGCAAGGCAAACACCCTACCTCCTGTACTCTCACTCCAGAAGATGTTTTAAGATGAAGCAGCTAATAATACTGCCACCCCTGCTCTCCCCTTCCCCCCCAAAAAAGTCAAAATACTGACCTGTTATGTTTTACTAAGAGTGTTTTTCAGTTCTCTGCTCAACCATCAACTTCCCTTAAACTTGGGTCTACTCTAAGAAAATAGAGGCTGGGGGCCAGAGAGATAATGCAACGATAGCAGAGTTGCCTTGCATGCGGCCAATCCCAGTCTGATCCCCAGCTCTGCATATGGTTCCTCTGAGCCCTGCCAGGAGTCAGCTCTGAGCACAGAGCCAGGTTTGCCAAACACAACAAAACAGAGACTGGGTCTAGGATGTAGCTGAGAGGTTCAGCGTATACTTTGTATATGTGAAGTTCTGAAAAACAGTCTCCATAGAACAATAGAATAATGTACTGAATAATATACTGAATAGAATAATGTACTGAATAATGTACTGAATAGAATAATGTACTGAATAATGTACTGAATAAAGTACTGAATAAAGACACACCCAAGGCATTGGATTACAAAACTAATTAACAAATGGGAGGGGTGGGGCGGGGGGGGGGGGGGGAGGGGGGGGGAGAAAATCACACCAGAAGGAACATAGGGACAGTGGAGGAGGGTCATGAACACTTTGGTGAAGGTGAGTTGCAGTAAATTTGTTCGTTACCATCAATTTTAACATACCTAAAATATAACTTTGAAGAAACAGTGGGGAGTGTGGCCTGATCGATAGTACAGGGGTGAAGGACTATCCTTCCACGCAGCTGACCCTGGTGGAATTATCCACATCACAAGTAGTCCCCCAGAACCCACCCCAGAAGTCATCCCTGTGCACTATTAGGTAAAGGTAAAAAAAAAGTAAAGGCCCTCCCGTTGATCGTCGATTTGCTCGAGCGGGCCCAGTAACGTCTCCATTGGAGACTTTGTTGTTACTGTGTCTGGCGTATCGAATACTCTCGGTAGCTTGCCGGTCTCTCTGAGAGGGGCGGAGGAATCGAACTCGGGTCGGCCATGTTG